CTTAGATTTGTGGTCACTTGTGTCGGTGTCTTTCCTGTACCCAGATCTTTTCTATTCAAACCCTGGCGTCACCAGGAGCACCGCCTTCAGATCGAGGCACCGGCTCCGTGTCATGCAGTGTGCACGTGTATACATAATTATAATTAATTATACATATAGCAAAATAGTAGAAGACCTGTTTGTACATTTATCTGGTTGGTGGTTTGGAACATGTTTTTTGTTCCCATATATTGGGAATGTCATCATCCCAACTGACGAACTCCATCATTTTTATATATTTGTTCAGAGGGGTAGGTCAACCACCAACCAGTTGATGCTTAAAATTCCCATCATGGTTAACCATCACCACCTTAATCATCACCACCATTATTAACCATTAGTAACCATTAAAGGATGACTTACCATCGCCTCCTGACTTACCATCCCAGCCACGGCCAGGATTTGCGTGACCGGAACCGGAAACGCGAGACTGAGATTCAGGAGGTGCCGTGTCGACTTTTTTTTCCGGGCTTTCCAGTATGTGGCACTGTGTGGAGTGAAAAAGATGGTGGATTTAGTCATGAAAAATGATACTACTTGGAGTCTGGTATAATATGTTATAATATGTTATAATATGTTATAATATGTTATAATATGTTATGATATGTTATAATATGTTATAATATGTTATAATATGTTATAATATGTTATAATATAGCGGGGATTTAGTATTGGGATTAAAAAGGTAGGATATTCAGTGAGAAAGGTTTGTTTGAACATGGGAGATTCAACTATAGTTGATTAAATGGCTATGAACTGCTATTTGTTACCAGCTTAACAAACAACAAATCAAATCCACGGTGGAAAACTGGTGAACCTCACCGTTTTCAACCCACCATATGTTAAGATATAACTAACCAACTTTATAATATATCATGTGTGAGTTTGTTTGGAAATGGGGCCGGCATGCCCCAAAATTTAACTAAGGAAACATGAATGAACATGATGCCCAAACCCGTGGTTTCTGCGGTGTACCGGTATACCCTGTTTTCGGACAAACCAAACACATGGTGATTTCGAAGCGAAACAATAAACAAAAAATCGATATGCTAGGGAGTTGAGCAAAAAATCGGGTGGATCATATTTTTTTTTGGCGAATTTGGTGACGGTGATGGTGGTGTTCACTAACAAGAAGGCACGATCCATCACCCAGAAAACATGATTTTAACCAAGAGAAATAGGGTGTTCAACTAGTGACAGCACCGGGAGTGAAACAGATTAAACGTGATTATTAAAAATGATTGATTAAAAAAGGTCCCTTTGACATCCTTTCATCTACTGTAATTTGCATTCTGACCAGCAAGGAATGTTGAACCACTGATTCAATCAACAACGAGCTCGTGGATTTGCCAATCAGAACCTGGATGGCATGGCCCACACATTTGACCCGAAATAAGGACCACCCAAAACCAGCGGTTGACAACCCCCCATACCAGCTTTATGGCTAATTGTAATCCCAAATGTTCTATGCAATATTATTTGCAGGATGCTGAAATATGCCCCTCAGAGAGGGCGAGCGAGAGAGAGAGAGAGAGAGAGAGAGAAAACACTAGAAGCCATCCCTGATTTACACCAGTTTGATTACATCATCAGATGAAACAGGCGGCCCAACAGCAGCTTCAACGACTGCAGGAGGACAATGATGGTGATGGGAACGCTCTTTCGTGCGTTCAAAAACCACCTGGTGAATGATGGATGGATCGGATAGATCAGATGACGGTCAAATAGTTTCTGTGGCGAGTGTTCAGCCACGAACGTACACACATTACACTATCTTGTGGCTTGCACATGCTGGTACATGTCTTTTTTCCTTTGACTCTGTCGGCCGAACTGGACTGTGTGGACTTGTCAAAAGGGCATTCTTTATGTATATAGATGGGTGGATGGATGGTTCGATGGATGGATAGACTCTATCTCCATCCTTTCCACCTAGTACCATCTATGTTTGGGACAACGGATGGCAGTTCTCAACCACGCGCTGCGTTGCTGGCTGTCAAGGAGTTGAAGGCAGCCAATGCCGAGCTCCTTCGGAGGTACAAGGGGATCTGCCTGGGTCGCTTTTTCGCATAGAGGGGTGCCACTCGGAAGCAGAACAAAGTCGATGTTTTGTTGGAAAAACGGGTAATTCAACGCATGATACACATGTAGATAAACGATACGCAGCATGTCCAACAAAACAAAGGTCAACTTTTGGCAGAGGATCAACTAACCACCATGGGTTGCGATTTCACATATCAATATCGTTTTAGATGCCATGTCTGCGGCAGCAGATTTCTGTAGCAACTCATGGCTCACGCTGAGTGGCAGGAATGACAAGCCGAGAGAACTGGAGGTGTGGTTCGCTATGGATCGCTGGTTTGGATCTATGGGTTTCCGTATTTCGTATTAAACAGGAAACTAAGGAGCTAAGGGTTTCCCAACCACATGAGAGTTAGATCCAAAAATGTCAAACCCAAATGGGGTAGCTTCATGTTGGATGGTGCGTTATTAGACTCGTAGAGGTACTCGTACGGCTGATGTAGACCTTGATACCATCAAGACTTCATTTAGGAGCTAGGTTTGATAAAGCAAACTCAAGTTGACTCTGACTGGCATATTGGCATATGGTTTGAATATGTTTGAATATATATATACATATCCCAGCTAGATAAATTTGCATCCTTTCTTAACCAGCTTGGCTACCCAAAACCAAGCATGAAAATGCAGCCCGAGCCGCAGTCTCTTCACCATTAACCACCATCTCGTCGAATTTCCATGAAACCAATCCATTAATTATATCAAATTATATCCATTTGGGGATGAATTATACTAGAGATACTGGATACTGCAGTAGCTATTGAAAATGCTGATTTTCCAATATCCATTATCAATATATGAAGACCATTAATTCTCAAACCTATGGAGACAAATCCATTACCATCTGGTAAATTAATATAGACCCTGAAAATAGCCTAATTTGAATGGAAAGTAATCTTCCAACCCCTATCTGCCAGGGTCTACGGTAATTTACCAGAGGGTAAATCCCATTAGATCCCATTAAATCACCATCGAATTCCATTAAAGTCTCACTAAATCCCATTTAATCCCATTAAATCCATTTGAAACTGCTGATCTTCCAATGGTCCAGCCATGGCCTCGCCATTCTCCCATGGCCATGGCCATGACCTCGCCAGGCCGAAGGCCGTCCGACTCCACCAGGCAACGGCCGAATCCATGGTGGTTTCTGCATGTTGTGTCCGTTGTGTCCTCAAACTAGCCACAGGTGATGATGTATAGATCTCAATAACCATATATCATATATGCTCACATATGTATTTACATACATATATGATCATCTATGTATAAATATAATTAAATATAAAAATAAATATTCTATAGATGATGGATGAAGATGAATAGATGTATGATAATGATCTGATAATGTATGCATATGATCTTTAGATGTCTTTAGTTTGCCTGCATAAGCTTGTCGTTCGTTAGAGCAACCCTTTAACTTTTCGTCAATGCTTCACATGCGTTTGGATTACAATTGCCCAAAACGCAAATCAAGGGTGTTGGGAATTGACCATTGATATGATAGGGGGATTATCCTTTGCCACGTTTGATTACCAGAGGTTACTTGCCTATGTTTTATTAATCTGTTGCTTAAAGCAAAATATTGCTCCAGTTTCATCTCCACTTTGCTTGCGTTGAATTGCAGGGATGGTTTCAATTCTTCCATGAACGTTGCCTGCGTTTTTAGTAGTGTTTAATCCATTCTTTGTTGGTGAAAGTCTCCGTGTTTGATGCTCATACAGTCAAACATCAAACATCACCCTGTTTTTCCCCTTGGTAGCCTTGGACAAGATGTTTTAAACTGTTTTTACACACGGGCACATATGTATGTATGTTTTTTGTTTTTTTTAAATATATATATATATGTTTATTTAAGTTTATATATATATGTTTATGTTCCGCTGAACAGTGGAACATCTTTGAGTCTTTTAGATTCCGCGTCCAGCGCTCCGAGGCTTCAACGGAGCGCAGGCTCCAGGTTTGGTGGCACGCTGTTTGGAGCTGGGCAAGGCCAATAAGGCTTGGCGACCTCGACAGGATGTTGTTGGTGGATTTCCCATGGATGTTGTGCTACTTTTGATGTTGTTTTTTTGGGAAAATCCACTAGGTACTGAACATCCATGGAAAATAATTGTTCTCCATTATTATCATGACCTACAAATGGTAAAGCCAAGAAGTCATGATGGGATAATGATGGGATGAAATTGGGAGTTTTCCTCAAACCCGGGTTTATGAAGTTGGCTATATGTGGGATGACCCAAAATAACGCCCACATGATTGATTACTGGGAATGGTGAAACCTTCTTGACAGAAGGTTCGCCGTAACCAGCATGCTCAGAAAAACTAGGATCCATTGGGGGGACCAACGCTGACATGGCCTCCGCAGCTCCCTGTAGCTCAGCTTGAAGCCCCTTGTTGCCCCAGTTCTCCAAGTAATTCCTCTTTTGGAAAGACCGCAATCCATACAGGAAACATGGAGAGATTCTGCTACAGTTTTTTTTTCCCTTGCAGGGTATTGAATATCCGATATTTTGGTATTGAATTTATTGGCTTTAGTGTTGGGCGGATAGAGACAACACCCATTTGTCTTGTGGCAAAGGCTCTTGCACCTTGCCCCGAAAAAGAGGGAACTACTTTCATCATCATTCCAATTGAGAAAGCTCCCTGGACTGTTGTTTTCTTCAAAGCTGAGATCTCCGGCTGTTGTTGAGGTGGGTTCAGAAAACTTTGCTCTGTCTCAAACGGGGGGTACCACATGCCCAAATACGATTGCAATTCCATGAGGGAAACCACCTGTTTTGAAACAACCGCACATCACCATCTATTGCCTTCATAGAATCATTCCCCTTGGCTTCAGAGACAGGAGAAGACCCATCTGTTTTTTTTTTCGAGCGCGATGCCCACCCATGTCGCAGCCGTCGCAGCCAACGGCAGAGGAGGAATTCTTGAGATGGGTGGTGGCTTCGATACACTGAACGGTTTGTGTGAACCTTTCTCCAAATCTTTGCCGAACATAGGGGAAAACTGCATTTCAGCCGCAACCGAATAACATGGGGAAATAGTGAATTCCCAGCTAAAAGGTGTTTGGTGAACCTGCGCTACAAGACTGTTTAAACGCTTGTTGTTCTGAGTGATCTTGATATGAATGTACGACAAAAGGATCTATGTTGAGCATATGTGCGATACGTATTTCCAGCCACGCAAAGGCGCCCATTTCAATTTGATACATGTCACCGCTCACACGTTATCGAATAATCCAAGCCATGATAATCAACTCCGTGGTCGGAGATATTGCTCCAGCTGGGTGCACATGGATCAATCTCATCATATCGCCATGATACCCCCCTCCATTTCCACAATTCATTGATGGTGTGGGTTTAAATCAGCATTTTTCATCCACCCGGTGTGTTTTTTTTTAACACTGGATTTCATAGCCCACCCATTAAATCACCATTTGTTTGACCCATTCATGATGCATTGAATCATAACTCATGATAATAATTCATGTGCTCATTCATTGGATTGGTTAAGGGACAATCTTAAGCTGAAACCCATGGGTTTTTCCCATGTTTTTCCTATGAATTCTGGGGCTTTTCCGGCCAACCAATGTTCCCAACAATCCAGTGACGGTGTCGGGTGGCCATCTCAACGGCTGTCAACTTCCCCTTCCTCAGGTGGACATTGGAGCATTGGGTTTACACCAAGTGTGCCCTGGCGGCCATTTTCGGGAAAAATGATGGGTTACTGATGAGAATGGGAACATCCTCTATGGTGGGAGTTTCATGATTTTGATGTTGTTTGATTCCACTGCAACCTGTGAGGGGAATGGGATTTTCAAATACTATGAAGGCTGTTTTATGTCTGGGAACAATTTAGACCTGGATAAATGATAGAATGGGATTTTGAGGGGCTTTTGATTGGGACCATCTTTGGCCTTTTAATGCCATGATCATGGGAGTGGAATGGTGGTCATATTCTTACGACCTCTTTGGCGCCCTTGACACCGTAAAATACATATGCTTATTGATGGTTGTTGGTGAAGAACAACACATAGTTTATATTTGGTTATAGCCATCATTTAAATAAGCATTAATAACCGTTTGTTATTTTTGGATGGTTAGTTATGAATATTCAGAATCATCCAACAGAGATGGTGAAAACTTAATGTTTTGGAGCAAATAAGTTGATGGTTTTTCTCGTGGATGATTGAATGATCAGCTCCTGGCTTCCATGTTCATCCTTTTTCAGCCCAGTGCATCCTGGTTGCAGTATTGAAACTTACCATTCACTCATGACCATTTACTGACTCGCCAGGATTAATGTTGGCAACATCTACAGGAAACCACCCTATATGTGACTGTGATGTTCAGATGAACCCAGAGTGATCCGTTAGGGATTTAATTTGTTGCATACAACCACAGTCAACAGTTCCGTCTACTCCACATCCCAGTTCCCAATGTTACCATTTTCGGTGGGTACCCCTCGTTAAAACCAGTGGTCAACCAATCAAAAGCTGGTTGGTGGTTTGGAACATGACTTTTGTTTTCCATATATGGGATGTCATCCTTCCCATTGACTCATATTTTTCAGAGGGGTAGGGCCTAGGGTAGGTCAACCAGCAACCAGAAACGGGCGGGCTAGGAGTATCACCTACCTCGAAAAAAACGGCGTCTTGGTACGAAGCCTCGTGGCTGCGAAGGAGGTGCAGAAGTTCACCAGGATTGTTTGCTGGGAGCAGCCATTGAAGCGTTGGTTAAACCTGTTGCGGTTACACCACTGAACACATAACTCTATAGTAACCCCAAAAAGATGCTGAAAAGTCATATCTATCACATGTTATCAGTTTAAAATGGGATTTTACCTCAGCTTCTATATCCCTTTGTGATTTATCACCCACAAAATCAGAACTGTGACATGCGGCGGTGGCAGGTCACAGAGCCCATTTTGCTGCCGCGCAGTCTGCTGCTGATGGCTGAGAATGACATGGATTTAGCCTGGCGCCTGGCTCGAGAACGTTTCAGGCGGCGAAAACGGGGACCCAAAGATGGCAAGGTGATCCTGGAAGATCATGAAATATGTATAAATATGTCATACATGAGCCATATAGATCATACAGATGTAAAATGTCATCTCACATTTCTAGTAGTTTCTTGTGATCTAATCTGGCCTTGGAAAATGTCGCTCAACTTTCTGTGTTGAGCCACCCTGGCTGCGCCCTCAGCCGGCCACAGGATGGACGATGGCCAAGCGTCTTCCTTAGCGCCTTGGATACGCATCCTGCCATCTGAAGAGATGCTGAAAGAATATCATGTGGCCTATGTCACTTGGCGGATCCACATTGCGGTGGCTGAAAATTGTTGATGTGAAAGAGAGATCATGTGGCGATCATGGGAGCATCATGGAGCATGACCGTGGATTCACTATTTGGTCAATTGTATCTAACCATGAAATGAGCTAGCCGGCAAGCACGGCGGGGATTTATGTAAGCATGAAATGATTGGGGTATAATGGATATACAATTAACCACTGATTACTTCGCTCGTGATTTTACATGTGTTTTTTCCCATCTTAGACGTGGGAAGATGATGATCGTGACGGTGATGACGCTGACGATGGCGATGATGGCGATGATTGCGATGATGACGACGTGGTTTTGGTTTTGATTTTAGTTTTGGTTGTGGCTGTTGATCCTCCCCATTGACGTACTTTTTTTTTTGGGGGGTGGGTGCAAAAACCAACAAGAACATTTGTGAATCATACAGCTTTACCCTATAGTGAATCGAATCCCAATTTTTCCTGAGGACCCAGGTCCCACTCCCCAGGCATCCGACAACGTTCTAGAAACCTTCGCTGCGCTGCCGCTGACGTCCAGGGTGCAGCACTGGAAGCAGAGCGTGTGCGACGTTTGGCAGGCGGGGGCAAGGATACAGCTCTAGGGCCTGGAGATGATGGGTAAACATACCCTCTGGTTAGACATAGCTATGGAAAATGGCTCAGACAAACGATGATGTATGATGATTTACCTTTTAAACATGATGATGTTCACGTTTTTCTTTTTTGAATAGGTATGTTAAACACGCAGATGGTATATGGGATAGTTGTTGCAAAATGAAACACCTGTGAGGTAAACATCAAAGGGGATCACCGCTCCAAAATTTGGGAAAACCTCAGGTCCCGAACTAATTATTGGCATTGAAGATTGACAAATCATCGAAGTATCGCTTGCAGTTTTCCAGAAAGCCATGTTAGATTATGTTTGATTACCCGAGGGTAACAGGCACCTGGAATCCACGCTGCGCAATGATTTCTAGCTGTGTGCAGGACAGAAAATCAGAATTCATGGATGTCAGCTTCGACGCTTTCAAGTGGGCCGCAACCATTTTGCAGACGCGAGTAGCCCGGTTCATGTAGTTGGCACACGCTTGGTAGACGGCCGCGTACTTTTGTTGCTTTTTTGCTCATTGGGGTGGGGTGGGGTGGGGTAATAACGTTCATTTGCACTTCCTCACATATATGATGCTACGTTATTGTGTGGGGTTGGGGTGGGGTGGGGTAATAACGTTCATTTGCACTTCCTCACATACATGATGCTACGTTATTGTATGTCGTCTTGCACTACTGTATGTCGTCTTGCACTTCCTCACATACATGATGCTACGCTACTTCGTCTTGCACTTCCTCACATACATGATGCTACGCTACTGTATGTCGTCTTGCACTTCCTCACATACATGATGCTACGCTACTGTATGTCGTCTTGCACTTCCTCACATACATGATGCTACGCTACTGTATGTCGTCTTGCACTTCCTCACATATATGATGCTACGCTACTGTATGTCGTCTTGCACTTCCTCACATATATGATGCTACGTTATTGTATGTCGTCTTGCACTTCCTCACATATATGATGCTACGCTACTGTATGTCGTCTTGCACTTCCAGACGTATATGATGCTACGCTACTGTATGTCGTCTTGCACTTCCTCACATATATGATGCTACGCTACTGTATGTCGTCTTGCACTTCCTCACATACATGATGCTACGTTATTGTTTGTCGTCTTGCACTTCCTCACAGATATGATGCTACGTTATTGTATGTCGTCTTGCACTTCCTCACATATATGATGCTACGCTACTGTATGTCGTCTTGCACTTCCTCACATACATGATGCTACGTTATTGTGTGGGGTGGGGTCTGGTGGGGTGGGGTAATAACGTTCATTTGCACTTCCTCACATACCCTGATGTCAGAAGACGTCAAAGCGATGGTGAACCAATGGGTCTTTAGAAAAAGCCTAGGGACCCCGATTGCCTTCTTAGAAGAGCTGAAACGACTTTTGAAACAATGAGGAAAAAGGCTATGAAGTGCTGCTTCGCAGTAGTTTGGAACAAGGCAAAAATGAGGAACGTCAAAAAACATTGAGTTTTTTTCTGAAAATCCCATTTCGTGCCACGGCCGTCTATCAAGCGTGGACCTAGTTTGCCCTTGTTGGGTTTCAACCTTGGGCTTCTGCAATTCTGAACTGTAAAATGGCAATGGAATGTTCTGCAATGTTCTGCATGTGTGCGTTTTTTTTCTGATCCAAGCTGGCTCCCCATGAAGCAAAACATGTTGCCTTGACGCCTCCAATGAGGTCTTCCGCCCTCCACCCAGCTTCTCTTTCATGCCGGTGGCAGACCCTTGACTCGGAGGGTGAGCCCATTGGTGCAGACACCTCAAGGTTTGAATTGTGACACAGCCAGAACTTGTCCACCAACAGTTCATGTGGTTGCCTCATGTTGCCCCGTTTCCTCCAGACTTTCGAAACATCACCACTCCTCTTGGGGATGTGACTTCCAAGGCTGGCGCCTCGTAAATTTTAAATCCCATGCGCTCATTGATCTCAGGACATGATGAATACCAGTCTGATGCCCAATATGGAAGTTTATGACAGCTTCTCAGCGCACTGGACCAGGTTTTGGTGAAGATAAAACTGGTGAATGGCTGGTGAAAGCCTGTTCGAAACAATCGCAACAGTGACAAAAGTGGGAAACATTGGGAAACCCTATATGGTTTTCCATCCTTTTCCAGTAGCTTCTCAACCCGTTCAAGGGCCCACATCTGTTTCAGGTCAATTAATGTTGATTTTGGGACAGGGAAAAAGACTACAGTGAGTGAGAAGTTTTATTCTAAGTGAGAAAAACACCACCCGAATGATCACCATTGAGTGAAATACAGCAATACATTACAATCAGATTTCATCAACCATAGTTTCTTGAAATCCGGGTCGACTTGTTTTGCTTAAGTTCCAACTCTTGTTGGTAGGTTGCTCTGAGTGAAGCATCCGAAAAAAAGAAAACAGCGGAGAGAGAAAGAGAGAGACAAAGAGAGAGAGAGAGAGGAGACGGCAAGCACGACAGAAGGCTAATCAGCAAGCATAGAAGACTATCAAAGGATATAAAGGCAGAATACAAGTTCAAATCGGGAAGGTCATTTTCCAGCTCATTATTCAGCCCCTTCCATCCACTTGGAGGATCATCCCCTTGCATTACCACCTTGCAATGTTCAAGTGAATGAAGCAAGTTTCCCAAGCTCTAACAGGGCTATCGCCCCCAGAATCGAAGATGTGTGGTTACAATTTCTTATTATTCACTCACTAAGTCACTAAGGCTTCAGTGTTGCAAATTGTTACGTCGACATTAGTCACTCTTTGTGTTGTCCAAGTGGCAAAAAGTCCTCGGTTCCCTTGCTGGGCGCACCACTCTCCCCTAGGCGAGTTCTGCTTGTTGCATCGATCTGTTCGTTCACCCAATCAACGGTAGATACATCGAACATACAGTTTGGCTATAAAGCTGCAGAGTGTCACAGATCATCATAAAGCATGTTTGGATCCTCATGTTTCTTGCCGAAAATCTGTTTAAACTCTATTTTTCCGGTGAAATCTCCTAAACAAATTCCGGGCGTCCCATTTTTTCCAGGTTTGGAATTGGAAGAGGCCCCTGAAGACATCACCAACAGCCCAGCCTCTGCCAGCAGCAACATGGGCTACTATGGCCTACTGCCATTGCGCGAGATCATGCCAGGACCGAAGATCATGCGCTTGGGGAAACTTAGCCATTTTTCCCCACCTGCCAGGTGAGGGTTAGATTTTATCACAGTTGTTCTCCTCCTCCGCCTCCTCCTCCTCCTCATCCTCCACCTCCTTCTCCTCCTCCTCCTCCCTCTCCTCCAGCTTCTCCTCCACCACCTTTGCATCCACTCCCATGTTCACTTCCGCCTTGCCAACTCTTCGCCAAGCTCTTCGTCAACTTCTGCACGCAGTGGGCACTTCTGGACCTCAACTGCAAGGGTCTGAGCGCACTGGGCACCGCTGGACCTCAACCTGGGACCTTCCGAGCTCAGTGAGCACCGCTGGACCTCAACCTGGGACCTTCCGAGCTCAGTGAGCACCGCTGGACCTCAACCTGGGACCCTCCGAGCTCAGTGAGCACCGCTGGACCTCAACCTGGGACCCTCCGAGCTCAGTGAGCACCGCTGGACCTCAACCTGGGACCCTCCGAGCTCAGTGAGCACCGCTGGCCCTCAACGGCCAGATAGAATGCCAGAAGATATGCCAGATAGAACGCCAGATAGAATGTCAGAAAGAATGCCAGAAGATATGCCAGATAAAGTGCCAGAATGCTTGCCAGATAGAATGCCAGAAGATATGCCAGATAGAATGCCCGAAGATATGCCAGATAAAATGCCAGAAGATATGTCAGATAGAATGCCAGAAGATATGCCAGATAGAGTGCCAGAAGATATGCCAGAAGATTTGCCAGGTAGAATGCCAGAAGATATGCCAGATAGAATGCCAGAAGATATGCCAGATAAAATGCCAGAAGATATGTCAGGTAGAATGCCAGAAGATATGCCAGATAGAATGCCAGAAGATATGCCAGATAAAATGCCAGAAGATATGTCAGATAGAATGCCAGAAGATTTGCCAGTAACAAAACGTATAGATGTCATGGTGGGGATAAATCGAAGTAAAGTAATTGGGTTAAATTGCACAGATAAATCATGGATATTCATGGGATACTGGGTAAAGATGGGTAAAGCGACTGGAAATTATCAGTTACTGTACTTTAGTATATATACATACATATATATATATATATATGTGTGTGTGTTCCAGTGAGTGTGTGTGTGTTCACATTGTGGGGGTATCGCAAGCAGTCGTTGGCCCCAAATTTGGTGGTTGACAGGGAATGTTCATGTTTTCTCCATGCTTGCTTGGGGCTTTCTGATTCCCTGGGATTTAAATCATGCTGTAGTTTTCACATTGGTTGCTTGATAACAACGGGTTTTGTGATCATAGATAGCAACGAGTCTTCTGTATTTGTCAAAATTTTCGGATGTTGAAGCATGTTGACTCGACCTTCACTGGACTTTTTTCTGACTGCAGTTGGCATTCTGCCATTTTTGAAGGTGAAGAGTTGACGCAAGCCTACTGTGCCGTGGACAACTCCGAGCGTCTCTTCAGGAGCCTTGGATGAGTTGTTCAGATGATATTTGAAGGTACCGGAAAAATGGGAGAATCTGGGGAGCATCACGGGGATATAAACCAACCATACAGGCATAACGTGGGATAAGGATATAACGGGATCGGGTATTGGCTGATGAGCGGCTCATGGCTGTCATTGAAAAAGGTGGTGTAGCTGCCATGGCAATTTCGATGGGGACAATTAAACCTTCGGATTTCAGATTGTTTCCCTCAATTTCTGACAAACCCCATTCATATGAACGGCTGATTCTTTCGGATCCTCACAAGCCACTAGTGAAAAAGTCCCCCAAGGAATCCGCTAGTTTGACGGACCTGTTTATTCATGATCATTCATGTAAGTGGCATGTGCAGCCAAATTTACATGGACATCCTTATATATTCTTACAACATATACATTGACATGTTGGGACGAAATGAGTCATGTGTATATGATTGCATATGTGTATACAATATAGATTGCCTTAAAAGTTGGTGGGGCGTAGAGCATTATCAAAGATGCTGCTTAAAGAGGGTAAGGAGCTTAAAAACACATGTGCATATACTGTATATATATATATATGCAGGTGTGTGTGTGTGCGCGTGCACATAAATGTATATAATCGCGTATCTACCTACAGTTTATATATATATATATAAATGCATATGTTTTTCAATATTTTCATACATACAAACATACATACATGCATGCATACATACATACATACATTCTTACATACATACATACATACATACACACATACATACACACATACATACATACATACATACATACATACATACATACATACATACACACATACATACATACATACACACACACATACATACATACATACATACATACATACATACATAACAAATGCAAATACAAATGCAAATACACATGCAAATACAAATACAAATGCAAACACAAATGCAAATACAGATGCAAATGCAAATGCAAATGCAAGTACAAATGCAAATACAAATGCACATGCTAATCCTAATGCAAATACTGATGCTAATACAAATGCAATACAACACAATACATGTATATGTATATGTAAGGTATATCATATATATGTATAAGTAGTGTATGTACATGTTCCCCGCAGTATCGGCTCAAGCTTTGAGTGGATGGGAGCGCCGACTCTCCGTTGCCTGACTTGCCTCGGCAAGTTCGGGCCTGTCCATTCCGAGCTTAGGTGTGCTACTTGTCTCCTGGTGTGTCGCATTCAAGGTGCACTACTGTCTGAGCATATTCTCCCAGAGGATTTGCCCTTGGTAGTCCCGGGGATCAGACAGGCCAAGCCTTCTTTAGAAAAACACTTGCAGATCCTTGAGCGTACTCGTAAAACGAGTAGTTCAGGGGGACGTGGAAAGAGGAAATATTGGACTGGCGTGATTTTTCATGAAGAGGAAGGGCCGGGGGACCCTTGAAAATAGGTACAAGTACGTGAGGCGCTTTTTCTTGCCTGCCGTGGCGGAAGGACTTTGAGGGGTACCAGAAGGGCTTTGAGGCTTGAACTTTCTCTTGGCGTGGCAGAGAAGTTCAAGGGAATCCTTGCAAGAATGTTTTTAAGATCGTGGCTTCTACCATTCTAACTTTTAATTTTGACAAACCTGATCTTGCTATGCTGCGAAAAAGGGTTTTGCAGAATCTTTGTTCCAACGACCACGGGGGTAAAGATGATGCATATGCCCCTTTTTCCCCGCAGTATCGGCTTAAACCCCCTCCCACAAACCGCCCTGAGTGGGTGGAAAGAGGGGCAAGACATCGGACTGGCGTGATTTTTATGAAGAGGAAGGGCCGGGGGACCCTTGAAAATAGGTACAAGTACGTGAGGCGCTTTTTCTTTCCTGGCGTGGCGGAAGGATTTTGAGGGGTACCAGAAGGGCTTTGAGGCTTGAACTTTCTCTTGGCGTGGCAGAGAAGTTCAAGGAAATCCTTGCAAGAATGTTTTTAAGATCGTGGCTTCTACCATTCTAACTTTTAATTTTGACAAACCACTTGCTGTGCTGCGAAAAAGGGTTTTGCAGAATCTTTGTTCCAACGACCACGGGGGTAAAGATGATGCATATGTCCCTTTTTCCCCGCAGTATCGGCTTAAGCCCCCTCCCACAAACCGCCCTGAGTGGGTGGAAAGAGGGGCAAGACATTGGACTGGCGTGATTTTTATGAAGAGGAAGGGCCGGGGGACCCTTGAAAATAGGTACAAGTACTTGAGGCTCTTTTTCTTTCCTGGCGTGGCAGAAAGAATTTGAGGGGTACCAGAAGGGCTTTGAGGCTTGAACTTTCTCTTGGCGTGGCAGAGAAGTTCAAGGGAGTCCTGGCAAGAATGTTTTTAAGACCGTGGCTTCTACCATTCTAACTTTTGTTTTTGACAAACCTGATCTTGCTGTGCTGTGAAAAATGGTTTTGCAGAATCTGTTTATATATATATATGTACATGTGTGTGTATGTATGTGGTATGTGTATATATGGGCAAATGTTTACAGTATGTATATATGTGTATATGCACATGTCTTTGTACCCCTCCAGGAAAAAACTGGAGTGACATTTGTCAGGGTATTTTTCAAGACGATCCCTTTCCGTTTTTTTCCACAGGTGTGGCTTCCTACTTCCAGGGAACCCCACAGCGGTGGAACCATTGAGCCGCACAAGTGTGGAAGCCATGTGTCGGCAGGCAGAATCACTGGAAGGCAGGAGAATGTGAACAAAGATCTATACTAGGTTTTTGGTTATACATCTAACTAAGTTGACTACGTGGAAACAACTAATGGGAGATATGGGACATGATGTCTGACTCTATTGCTTTTAGTTTTTATGGAAGATCCACTCTGGAAAATATGGTTTGCAAGGTGAGGCCCCCTGTTTACAATAGGAAAACATAGCATTTATTGAGACTTACCCAAGAACTTACCCAAGAAAAAAAGGTGTTCAATGCGATTTATTCGCTGATTGATGATAGCTAAATGTAACTTGGTTAACTCTTGGGTTGATTGGGGATGTAATGGGGGCGAACAAAAAAACCCACATATCTGGGGGTCCTCACATTGTACCAAATTGTATATATATATATGTATGTATACCGTGAGCAGTATCATTTTTTTGAATCTTATGCCAATCTTTGAGTCTTATATCACCGTATTTGATGGTTGATATATCCAACTTCTCATCTGGACACACAGTGATATAAAAACGGGCCTCGGAGATAGGTAAGTTTGCTAAGGGCAAGTCGTGAGAGAGGGAGAGGGAAGCTGTGCCTTATGTATATACACAGTTGGGTGGGCTGCTAAACGTTGCCACTTTTCCGGGGGTTCTCGGGCCATGCTTGTCGCTTGGACCGTGCAAGGCCCACGTGACCTCTTGGAGTCTTTGCGTGCCTTGGCGTTGGAGCATGCTGAAGCAGCATGAAAACCTCGTTGAGAGGAGGTTGAGCTGCGAAGATCAAAAGAAGCGTGCGCGATGCAAAGGATGGGACATGGAACAGTATGAAAATATCAGATAATTATTGTATCCGAAGTGGTGGTGGAACTGGCATGGACTTATCTTGAGATCAGTGCATTTTAGTGCATGTATGAGTATTGAAAGCTGTAGCTGTCAACGTTGCCGTTTTTAAACATTGGTGGGTTATTGGACCATTGAAAACCGGCTGGTGGGACCACATTTGTCGAATTCTTGACCAAGTTGCTCAAATTAGTTATGTCTCCCTACACTTGTTAGTTTCTTAGTTTCATACCACATTTTGGTTGGTTAGCCTTACTTAGACAGACCATGGGTTTAATGAACTTGTTAACAATCACCCTATAGCTGGGTATACAATGGGCTATAACCCACTTACGAAACGGTTAAACAAATCCATGGGCCATCTAGGTATGTGCTTCTGCAACTCGGTACCAAATTTCACATCAAACATTTCATGTCGCCCATTTTGGTTGATTACCCCTGTGTTTACCTCCGTAAAGAAAATCAATCCCTCATATCCAACACCATGCCTCTAGCTATCAAACCCTATCATGTTTGTTTTTATATATTCCATGTTTATTTTACAAGCAGTCATTTCTCCCCTTTGAAGATGGTTACATCATCCGCGTTATCCACATCAAAAATTACATGACAGCTATATGTTTGTTGGTTGTACAATCTTATGTGTGTATATCCCTTTTAGTTATATCCACTATCCACGCACATTTTGCTGGTCATCTGTGTAAAAGTGATATTCAACCATGAACCCTTCAACACCAGGTACACTTCCAGCTTTACTTGGATACACAACCGCAGTTAGAGGGCCCCAACATGCCCCAACTATTCGCAACCATTCAGCACTTTATAGTATAATGGTTGGAAATATGTGTGATGATAATCTGTAACAACCCACCTTTATAGTGGAATTAGTAATGCGTAATAATAACATATAATAACCCTCACTGCATCTCCAAGTCCTTTGAACAGTTTCCAACGCCAGGCCCTGCTGGAGAGCCTTTGCGTTGAGCAACGCGAGGGCTTTGAGCCCTGAACGGTGTTCGTCCCGTGCCCGCGGCAAACACCGTCCTGAGCTGCTAAGGGTAAACAAGCGGGAAACATGGCATGAGTTGTCGTGTTTTTTTGGTGACCAACCATCAACAATGGAGATATGATGAACAAATCCTCATTCCTAAGATTTGGCTAGTAAAATGGAAGTTGAAACAAAAAAACTTGAGGCTTTTGGATCAAAATGAATTTGGGAATAGAGCAGATGGCCACGTCACGTTTGGCTCAAAATGGGCTAAAGGTGATGTACGACTCAATAGGCTTGGCAAGCGGTAGGACGCAGTAGGCTCAGCAAGCGGTCGGAGGGAGTGGTCTTCCTCTACTGCCATTTGCCATCGACTAACTCGTTGTGGAGACTCTGTCACAGGAAGCCACGGCAGAAGAACCAATGGGATGCTCTGGGGGAATTTGCGGGAGAAGAACAGAATTTACCATACCCTAACCTTCCAGTTACCTCTGAGATTCTTAAGCAAGGCGATTTTATGCAACGACCTTGGGCTCTACCCTATCTGGCAGGCAAGTGATTCACTGGAAGTTGGAAGTCCAAACGGGTTAAAATGATGTTGCGTATATGATTTTTAGGGCAAAGCCATGTGAAACCACGTGCCATGACATTCCAGACATGGCGGTCATGACGTGATGCGCCGCTTGGCAGCTGCTGAGACATTGAGGTTCCGGAATATATATATATATACATATATTTATTTATTTATTTGTTTACAATCATTTACATGGAGGCTTTAACGGGAGTATACGTGGATTCGTGGGAATAGGCCACCAGTTCTTCTACTTGAACTACTTGTTTTTTGCTGATGATGTTATTTCCCAAGGGGACATTCACCAACTGGGGAATCTAAATGTTATATAATTAGATATGCATTCTAGGAGTGTTTTTTTGTGGGAAGGGGGCCCAAGAATAACAAATCAAAGTATATAAATTATATAGGCTACGCCTGTAACTTCAAAATGGAACCCAACAAGGGCCATATGTCATGCTAAATCACGGGGGACCCCACTTTTTAAGGCGGTAGATGGCCCTACCAAGTCGCAAAGATCAAAGCCAAATTGCCACCGCTTCCAGGCTCTCTGGGCTTGTCTGACCCGAACACTAACCCAGATAAACATAGATAAAACATGCCAACTAAAATGCCAAAGAGAGTGTAAAATAGAATGCAAGATAGAATGTCAGAAAATGTGTCAGATAGACTTGTCAAAGTACATGTCAGAATATATGTCAGAACATATGTCATATGGAATGTCGGATGTCGGAACTGTTCTCAGCATATGTGTCAAATATGTGTGTTGGCTAGACAGCCAGACACTAACGGACATTCGTAGAATGACAAGATAGAGCGCAATTATATATATATATATACATAACAATAATAGTAATAAGATTAATGACACTAATAAAATTTTAGTAGCATTAACCAAACAAATAAAGATAACAATGATATTGATAACACACATAAATATACATATATATATATATACATGTATATATATATACATGTATATATATATACACGTATATCATTACTGTATACAGCTGTACATGTCTGAGTGTTTTTCAGACCGCATGTGAGAAGACTTGTCAGATTGGATGCTAGAAAAATGCCAGGATAGAATAACATTTAGATTGACGGAATATATTCCAGATAGAATGCAATAATTTATGTAGGGGGTCACTTGAAGAAAGTAATTTTGAAACAAACCCAGCTAACTATATGATTATAATGATCCATAATCCTCTACAATTTTTCTTTTAAAAGCTATGACATAACCCAGCTTCACCCTCACACCCTCGCTTCGCCAACTTTGCTTCGATGGAGGCGTCATTTGCAGCGCCACGGGGCGGACCTGGAGGAGGCAGGAGATTTCAGGCTGATCGGCCATGGTGTTAGCCACAAAGTGCTGCCCCATAGTGAGCTAATATCATCTAATATAGCCAACGCAATGTTAAATACCAAATACCACCCTTAGAAGCCTAGAACTTTGTTGGTTTCATCATTCCACCTGTAGCCACTGCTTCAATGCTATCCGCTGAGGCAACCCTGGGTCCCTGTGAGGGTCCAAAGGGCCTTGGAATTTACGCCCGGCGGGCCATCGCCAAAGGTGAAGTGGTCGCTTCAGTGCGCCAGGGGTGCAGGGCCGCCATCAGTGGTGTTCAATACGGCTGATGGACTATTCACTACTTATTGATCTTATCGTTCTTATATATATATGTGTGTACTGTATATATATATATATATATACACATTTTTTTTTCGAATCTAATGTATCTAATCTGTCTAATCTAACCTATCTAATCTAATTTATCTATTTTATCTAAGTCTATGTCTCTACCTAAATAAATATATATATATATGTACATCTGGCCATATTTATATCTTTTATTTATTTATTTATTTATTGACATTAATATATATATATACATATATATATATAGCTACCTGAAATTTTGAAATTCAGGATTTGCACCCAAGTATTGTTCCTCTTTTTTTGCAATGATGATTGCCAATCAAGCGATATTGTTCAATCGTTTGCAGGGCAGGTTCCAGCGGGTAAGGCTTTATTTTTCACTTCATCAGGTCCAGACTTGATTGAAGGAAAAAACATTGATTAAAAAATGATGGTGTCCTCTTCTTCTTGTCAATGAATTGACAGGTGCACTATCTACAAGCCTCCCAGGTACCGCGTGGCTTGGTGCTGGAGGCCCCTCTCCTTGGCACTGCAGCCCCTCCATCCGACACGCTGCTGGCGGCGGCGGCCGGCGGCCACGGCCAGTGGTACGACGTCCTCGGCTCCGGCAGCGGACGTCGAAGCGCGGTGAAGCTGGCGCAGCGGCTGGTGGAGGAGGAGAAGAAAGGCCAGAAGGTGGGCGTGGCGTAGCTGAGTTTTCTTGGACATGGATGTTTAAATTATCCAAGTCACTTTCGGATTTTCCACTATGAACCATCCATTTTTGGTGTAGCAGTGTAGCCCCATTTCTGGAAACCCACATTTGATAGTTTGATATGTGACCGAAAAACCATGAAAGTAGATGAAAGTAGGGCACCCAAAAAAAAATGAAATGATCATGATTTTGCCCATCTGAATTGCATTTGCATGATTTGATTTATTGATTTGATGATCAACAAAGCTGGCCGCAAACAATACCTGCTCTGCTCTTTTAGCCTGAAGATATGTCAAAAACACCATGGTTCAGCCAAGGGTGAAGCAGTTGTTTGAGGTGTTTGTTTAGGACCTCATCGGCCTTCCACAGTGGCATGGAGGAGAGAGGTGAATTGGTTCTGCTTGTTCTCTTTTACAACTGCCCATTAATGACTTGGGAAACTGATGTTCCTTGTGTTCCTTGTTATTACGACCCACCAACTCTTGTAAAAAAAATCGGATTCCCCATTCATCATCATCAATGCATTTTTTCTGCTCAAAAATAAACGATGTTCCTATATCCTCCAGTAATCAAACATGGCAATGGAAAACCAACCATTTGGTTCCATGGATGTCTCAAAAAAATCAGGGCATTTCCCAGCCAGCCACGTTTGGTGACACCGCAAATTATGTCCACTAATATGTCAATCAATGTTCCATTAATATTCCATCAGTGTTCCCATTCTACCCTTACTACTGTATACCACCATTCTTGGATATTCCCGGTTTTGTTGTATCCCATATTATCATACATTATTCCATGAATTTATCATGGATTTTCTTATATTTTCCATGATTTCCCGATGTTTTCCTCTGATTTCCCGCATCCCGCAGTCGCCTTGGGCGTCCTACTTGCATGCCCTGCCGCAACCAATTCCTGCGCTACATCCCTTGGCAAATGCATGGCCAATGGAGCTGCTACGGTGCTCCTTGGGATGCCTGGGGGCCATGAAAAATAGGATGGCACAACCAACGATTTATAACCTGTAAATATAATGTATAGTAATTCAGCTGTGCATAGGCATCGGGGTATTAGGATACATGATATATTAATATATGATATGATGTATAATGTATGATATATGTTATAAGATATGTAACTTGTACATTGCTAATACATTGCTAATATACAACTAAGAATCTCTTGTAATTATATGATGTATTTTTGAGATGGATCATATGATGTGTATATTTATGTTTATATAAATACATGTTTTTTCAAGATAAAATAGGTATCTTTCTACTCCCACAGAGATTCCTCTGTTTCAAGGCAAATCTCAATTTTTGCAGAGATTTCTCTTTTAAGACAGCTGGATTTTTTACTGGAAACCGATTTTGGTGGTAGCACATCTTGCTAGCTATCACAACACCATGGAAGGCCAACTGAAGGCCTCATCACTCAAAAATGGTAGTTCTGCATGAGTCATATAACACTAAAAAAACAAAGTCCCCATTGTTCATGGTTAGTTAACAATCCATGTTTTTCACGGTCAGATCCCCATTATTCATGGTAAAATCATGTTAATTCGGAATTTTCAATGTTAAATCTGAGGCTTGACTCGGTTTGACCCGTTACTACCTGGGATTTTACTATCGCAAGGTGCAGTCCTTTCCTGGCTCGTCTCTATGAGGAGCCCTAGGGCCCTAGGGGTAACACGCTCGGTCAGCATGCTGAGTTGAGTTCATGGGATTCTCGAACTCTCAGTAACATGAGTAACATGTATCACTTGACGTACGTATACAACTCAATATATGTTTTTTTATACACATGAGATTAGACATGAACTTATGTATGATATGTATAGTTGAAACCAGGCATGAAATTATGTATAATATACGTGTATATCATGTTGTCATATATATATATATATTGAAATTAAACATGAAATTTTCTACAATATGTAAAATATATATTCAATGAAATGCATGCATATATATATATATATATACAAACATTGTTATTATCATCAATCATTATTTTTATTTTATTATTATTATTGTTTTCATTTTTATGATTATTTAATATTATTTTTTGGCCACTGTCCCCATGGCAGTGTGGTTTCATTGGAATTTGAAGAACTCTGAATTTCTCGATGTTTTCTGGGAGGCTACGAGAAGGTGATTGCAGTTACATGGGCCAAATGACCCGGTGAAAGGATGTGAGGGGAGGATTGATGGTTTATTTGTTGCAAATGAGGGGTGTAACATATTTTTTCTCGGCTATCTAAGGTTCACCATATGTATATATCATCTATTTATATATATATATATATACAAACATGTGCTGATCATTTAACCACATTGTTGGACTCATTTCGATCAACAACTGGTTCGGCTGCTGTGTGAATATGTCTTGGCAACCCTTGTCACAAGCATCATCCTGAAGAACATCTATTTCAAACCATTTCAAAACTTAATCCACTGATGATATTGAATCGGGTCAGGGTGGCACATGCGATACTGGTATAGCCACGTCAAAATGGTATGATTGTCCTTTTCTATCTTTTAGGGTATGCATAGCCTGAAGTAGAGCGTTGGCCACAGCTTAGCTGCGTTCTGCAGTTGTTTCCCTTCTTTTGTCTCAAGTCGTGCCCCTGGAAAACTGACTGGTTAGTTCGTCATGGCGATTCCGGCTGAAGCGCAAGGGAAACTTGGAAAACAATGAGAAAACTGTCGAGAGACAAGATCTTCGACGAAGTAGTTGCTCCCCTGAAGAGTCACATGGTCTTCGACTCGGCCCATCATTTTTGCATGGGACGAGGGTTCCATAAAGAACTCAATATCAATGGTACAATCATGGGGATTCATCCAAAACTCACTTAATATAGATGTCTTACAATATACTGGCTCAGTGTTAGCCAAAAAAACACCCAATTGATGGTTTAAACGGCCCATGTGGTGATTTTGGGGGTTAAATCCCGTAGGGAGTTGTTAACCCCTGAGTTACCCTGAAAATCACCTGCCGGAGGCGTTTTGTGCGTTTGTGCATATATAATCATATATATATATATATATATTTAGTTTTATATATATACACAATGCATACATACAGATATCACATGACATTGCCAAGTTATTCTATATGTTTACATTTATAGTGCACACATGTTGAATCCGTTTGTTCATCGGATGGTTTGTGACCCTTGCTTCGGTTTGCCCCAAGAAATATTGTTTTTTTTTTGCCGCCGTCTCGCACGAGGATCACTGCGGCCATTTTATGTGCTCCTTGGACATGATGGTTTGACTTGGTCTTAGCCAGAAATTGCTTAGCATTTGTGTTTTCGGTGTTAGATGGATTAACCACAGGGTGGGCCTTATTTAAAAGTTGGTTTATGACCTTATTGACTACAGCTACATCCTCAAACCCAAACGTTCACCAAGTGATGTGCGTCATCTTAGGGGGAGCTGTTTGGAGCGGGCCCAGTTAACCCCAGTGGGGATGTATCCACAAATATCCACAACTAGATCCATGGAACTGCAACAATCCAGGGGAGACCTGGAAAAAATTGGTTCGGTTGCTGGAAATTACACAAGTATGGTTCCAATGGTTTTTGGCATCTAATTGCTATGATTGCTGTGATTTACTATGTTTCATTGCTGCCGATGTAGGTTCAAACCTATAATACCATAGTTTGATGCATGTTTGGGGAAACATCCATGATCATCCATGGCTCGAAACTTTTGCTGGGGTTTCACCAGGCGGTTTTTAGCACGGCGAACCTGATGATTAGTCGCTTGGCAGACATCCTCGGCAGATGAGCTGGAAACATCAAGGATCAAGTGATCAAGTGGAAATACCATGGAAAGGCACCACAAATTAGGAAGAAATATGGCAAGCCCATGTTTTGTTTGGTGATGACGACGGGATGATGATGATGATGATGGTTTGGTTCCTTGCACGTCCATCACATAGCAATCACCCAAGATTCCCGAGGCGTTTAAATGAGCTTAGAGCGTTATAGAGTAAGATGTTCTGCATGATTCAACTCGGCAGTTGCTTCATTGAGTTTCACGTGCCGGTTCTTTGGACGGTTTAGTGTTTTAAGTGTGTACGTCGACGTCCACCCTTGTTGGAGTCAGATACCCCCGAATGGATGAAGACTTCCAGGTGTCGTTTGCAGCAGCCATTTGCGTGAACGATCTTTGATTTTTGAGATCAGCCATGTTGTAATCTCTGAGACTTGGATAATCCGAGACATACTTCCTGTGAACTACTAAATACTGAGGTGGGCCATGTCGTTAGCTAACTGATTAGTAATGACCTTGTAACCAGGCACACCATGGTTTACAACCCACTTACTAACCAGTCAACTAACTCGATGGCCTACCTAAGTATCCGAAAATGGTTTTCCAAGATCCAACTTTCACAAAATCTCATCATCCCTTTTCAAAGTTTCTGTCAGTCACTGTCGAGGTAAGATTCTGCAAGCCTGGGACTGGCCTTATTTCTTTCTTGCTGGTCTTTCGGCCCTTTGCTTCTTGGTGAGAAAACATGTTGGAGTCGGAGTTGTTATTTTGAGTCATTGTCCCATGCTTTTCTATTCAAATTGTCAGAAAATGGGGTCCCACCCCTTTTTTTTTGACAAACGAGTGTGGCTAATTTCAACCTCGGATTGAGAAACCCTGGTTCATTGTTTGGTGAGGTATATATTCACCAAAAAGTGATGATTTGCTACTGAAGTTATTTCCCATTTAAACAGCCTAGGGGTTATTAGTCCCGGGTTGACAATACTGACCATCATGATCAATCATTATTTGTGTGCAGAAGCCAGGACTGGAAAGGCAGCGCGTTAAACACCACACAGTTTCGGGCCAGAGAGGGTTGGTGTCCTTACGAAGCCCAAGGCATGATCCCCTGTTACGAGCATTTTTTACTGTATCTCCAGGTTTTTTCAGTGGTTGTTTTGCCTTGTGCAGATACATTTTGGATTTTGGGGTCCATCTCAAGGTCGTACAGGTATCAGCCTCTCAGCATTTGATGTGTGAAAGCGCCTGCCATCGGGCACAAAGGTATTACTTTGGGGCTGGCTATCACTATGGCGTGCCAGAAGACTTACAAGCTTCAACGCAGGGAAGTGAAATGGGTGACTCAGCTGGCTTTGGTTTACCATGGTTTACCCATATCATCAAACATATTTAGCAATATTTAGCCATATAATTACTGCGTGGAACATACGTATATAGTTGTTGTTGTTGAGGGGTAGATGAAGGCTTTCAATCGGCTCTACATAGGATTGAATACCCCATGCGGCCCAATGGGCTCATGGGGGCGCTCAGAATCACAAGTGCTTTATATTTGGTTCAGACCAACGAATCATTTTCCATCCCGATCAGATCTATTTTCCGGGATAAATATGGATAACTTGGTATAATTGGCTGAAGTGAGTAGCACATTCCAATCCCCCTTCATATTAAACACTGCGATTCTATGGTCCCAATATGTGTTTTAGGTGGGGGAATGTTTCAGGGTGCCTGCTCAACTCACTTCTGCTGGCAAGATACCGGTAATTTTCACGACACAAAAACACCATTTGGACATATTTGGACCATTTGGAGATCATTTCTTCTGAGCCAAAGCATGCATTTTCCAAATCTATATTGATTTACTGGATGGTATAAACTCGAAATTCGATTTATCAAAAAAACTAGGGTGAAACCATAGCTTCTAAACCACTAAATCTATCTAAATCTAGTGAACCTGGTGAAGCCAACGTGTTTTCCATCAATTCGTTCGGGCAGTTCGTCACCTTAGGTGATCTTGAGAGGACCGGTGGAGATGTGTCACTGACATTGCTTTATTTAACATATGTTATCATCATCTAACTGAAGATACTGAAGCTCAAAAAATGTAATGTCCACCTATGATTTAACAATAGGCCCCCCCCCCCTCTCTGACCCTAAATAGACTTAAGGCCACCATAAAACTTGTTTGTATGTAAAGGTTTTAAATTACCACGATTGAAAACGAATACATAAAATGCAATTTCAAAAAAAAAAGGAATCCAGCAATTGTTTTAGTATTGATCTAGTATTCATGTCATGGATTTAGTATTGATTTAGTATTCATGTCATGGATTTAGTATTGATTTAGTATTCATGTCATGGATTCAGTATTGATTTAGTATTCATCTCATGGATTTAGTATTGATTTAGTATTCATGTCATGGATTCAGTATTGATTTAGTATTCATCTCATGGATTTAGTATTGATTTAGTATTCATGTCATGGATTTAGTATTGATTTAGTATTCATCTCATGGATTTAGTATTGGTTTAGTACTCATTTCATGGATTTAGTATTGATTTAGTATTGATTTAGTATTCATTTCTTGATCAGCGGGAGGGGGAAGCTCAGTAGCTTTATTCAGGGTCAAACTCTAATTGGTGCTAAGGCACCTCATGGGGGGTACCCTTGATGAGTTGATTTGGAGTTGATTTTGGAGAAGTTTAAGTAAAGGTTTTGAATAGAAAGAGCATCCATCATTTTTGACAATTTCCAGCTATCATTTTTGAATAAAGGTTTTGGTCAGCCCCATCTGGGCAAATCTCGGTTTAGGGACAAAAAAAAATAGCTTTATTTAGGGGGCATTTATTATTTATTTTGGGAAAATTAGCTTTATTCAGGGGGCATTGACAAATCATAGGTCAACATTAATTTGATCAAAGGTATGGTTCAGAACTTTTTTTTTAATACCAAACACCTGTAATTTAATGTAATTTACTTGTACCAAACACCTGTCAAAGTTTGGTATGGACCACATTCTCGGAAGGAAGTCGGTGGGGCCAAAAGTGCCCTGGGGGCAAAATTTGCTGCAGATTCAACCGAGGAAAGTCGCCTATATACAGTAACTAATGGGAGCAACATTTCCATATACTGTGGAGATCTCTGAAACCGAGTATGATTCTGATGACGATGATAATGACGATGATGATGATGGTGGTGATGATGATGATTATGATGATGATGATGGTGGTGGTGATGATGATTATGATGATGATGATGATGATGATGAGTCTATGTGATCTTCGGCCATTGGTTTGGTTTGCACGGCGAAAACAACCTCGGTGATATTCCGCCGGCTTCTTGGGTGGAGGATTCGATGTCCAGTTTCACTCAGTTTTCTGAGTGTCCTTAACAACGTGAAAGACGTGAGGTGATCCAGCATGGGAAAAACGTGATGCTTTGAAACCATGGGGTATTATGCAAATTGTCCAATTTGAGGTATTTTGAGATATTTTGAGAGTATGATCAATCTTGAAACACACCAGCTGCCCTGGAGGATTCTTTGGTTGCGGCAACAATGTGCTAAGCGTTTGTGCTGTATTAGCCGGCGCAGAGGTGTGGCCGTGGCTGTGTGGTCTGGGGCATCAGAAGTGGGTACTTTCATTCCCTTTCTGTCTCTCGGTGTATATACACGTCCCAGTTGCTCACCAATTGCTATTTGCAAGGGTCACCCCGGCAACTGCAGTAGACTCAGTAGACTGTAGACATATAAATTTGAAGCTGGTAAATCCAATGCTGACACAACCAATGATGGAGGATTCTTACAAAAAGCTCAGTCTCGCAAGTTTGGCAGAAGTTTAGAGGTTTCAGCACATGTTCATGTCATCCATATTTGAGCTTGACTTTGACTCGCTCTATCGCTGTTTGCCGTTTTGTTGGTTCAACTCCCTTCTCTACCTATTTAGTACATTTTCGATCATTATAGATCATTTTAGTGCAACATAGTACAACCAGCAATTGCAAACCAAAGATTAAACAAATTCAACCCAAGAGATACACCCAAATGGTCGATTGAACCTTATCCAGCATCCATTTTGCTACAACCATTCCCCAAGTCGATGGAAACCTGTCAGGACTGGGTTTCTCCATGGACCATCAAAATTGGGGGGTTCCTATTTTAAGACAAAGCAAACCTGTTATCTTCTGCATCCCCTTATTTATTTATATATATATACAACATTCCAGTCTCACACAGGGCCCCCAAAAATGAATTTGTCCAATACTATATCCCATTATATTCCATTATATCCCATTATATTTCATTATATCCCATCTAAACACGTCAAATTATATATATACACATATTTTTCCATCTAAACCCATTATATCCCTTTCTGTTCCCATATATTCCATAGCCATTGAATCCTGACAACTCCGTAGCTGTCCCCATGACCAGGTGGGTTCCGTGGGCGCTTTAGGCTGCGTCAACACCGTGGTGGCAGCACTTTTAGGACAGCGAGGGAGCAGCACCCAGGGAATTGGGGAAAATTGTGAGGATAGGGTGGTTGAAATCCAACTGAATGATGGGAATTTGCTTGACATTCCCTGGAGAATTCTTGGAATTTATGGGAGTTAACCATCAGCAATGGGGGGAATTTCATGGAATTCATAGGATTTATCACGGGAATTTTAGACTTTGGCATACCCTTGCAATAGTTATCCATTAAATTGGTGAAGAACCGAGATCTGGGGGATTTACACCAACAGGGGGCCAAAAAGCAAGGATGGGCTCCCCCAAGGCGTGCCATGTTCCTATGGAAATGATGATAGACGATAAACAAAAGTTTTTGGTGTTACTTTATTTTCAGACAGGCCGAGTTGGTTTTCTGAGTTTTCTGAGTTACCCTAGGCTAATCAAACATTGCAACAACAAATTTCCCATAGATGAATCTCCCATAAGGCCCTCCATAGGGATTGTCAATTGCCATGTTTGATGACCGGAGGGCACACTCCTACCAGGGCATCATCGTACCGAGGTTGCACATGGCAAACCAAGATGCATCGAATTTGAGGCACCCCAATCCTTGTTGGTTTGGCATTCTGTTTGAAATATTCAGAATTAGCGAATGGGAGAAGCTGGTGAAGTTCCCCTTTCAAGATGTCACTCTATGTGACTTATCAGTTGCAAAAGCCATCGCCCAAAAAGTCAATGGTGGCTTCGGTGCCCTAGGACGCTTGGTTCTTGGCGAAGCTCTCGGAAAGCCGCTGGGCGGGTGTTGCTGTCCTTCCTGGTAAAATTGGATCATCCAATTTTACAGCCATTTTGCCAGTTCACCATGGTGGGATATATGTCTAATATTGGTGAATGAATTACAATGCGTACTGACGTTTTGTTTTATTTATTGTTAACAACGTACATAGCATGACTACAGATATTTTTAAGGCCGATTATTTAAGGACTTGCTAACCTTGCTGACTGGTTACGAGTGGAATGATTCCCGAGTTGAAACTGTTGATTTGTAGTTGGCCTACAGTATTCATGTGGGGGTTTAGTGCCATAATTCCTGATTCTGCAGAAAACCGGGGAGAAAAAGCAACTCAATTTATATAATCCTGTTTTTTTTTGTTCTATCCTTCTTGTTGGGCTCTGGTCGTTCCATAACTGCGTTTCCCCTATATTTTTTCAGCTTTACCAACTCTGTTCTACAATTGTGCGTTCTAGAATTAAGTGTGCTATTGTGGGTTTTTCCAGGAAGGGTATGAATGTAATAAATTATGCATCCGAATCCGCGCGAACGCGCATCAAGCAGGCGTTGTACTTTTTCTTTTTGTACTCTCATAGGGTTCCGTTCTATAATTTTGGCAACACCCATATATATCATATATATATATATACATAAATAAATATATATATATATACATATTTTTCTATCTAGATGCATATACCTGGTCGGACTCTATATTCTACCAAGTCCACAAACTGGACTTGGTGACCCAGCGACAAAGAGGCTGCACATTTTGGCCGTGGTCTTTTCCTTAACTGGTGCTGTTCTCATCTCTGACCCTGCGCACGCCATCTCGAGTATGGGATGCTTGGACTTCAGCTCCGTCAGAGAGGCGGAAGGAACATCATTTACATCTCTTATAATATATATATGGGGGCAAGTCAAAATAGGAGGTCCGGAACAAGCTCCGGGACCACACCCGTTCCATACCCCCGTTCCATACCCCCGTTCCATACCTCCTTGAAGGATCCGTTCCATACCTCTGTTCCATACCTCTGTTCCATACCTCTGATCCATACGTTATTATATTATATATATATATATAATTATATATAATTATTTTATATATATATATATATACAATTATGTGCAATCTGATTTTACATTTGTACGCACATATATGAGCGCACGTACATACATGAGTGCATACATGCAAGAATACGTTTACTATGCCCAAGCCCTGTGATTGTGTTGGCAAGTCTGTGCCTGCAGCACTTACAGCTGCTACACTATGTTGTGTGATGGTAGGGATGTGCTTGGCTGCTGCCAGCTGGCAGTCTAAGAATGGATTGCTTGTAACCCTCCCTCCCTCTCAACCTGTGGCAGGTTTGTGCCTGCACCACTTAAAGTTGCTGCAGGCTGTGGCACAGCTGTGGTGTTTGATTGTAGAGATGCGCTTGGCTGCTGCCAGCTGGCAGTCTAAGAATTGCTTGCTGCGCTATTCTCGCTCCAAACTGCGAATTTTGATAAAGATGTGCTGCGTGGTGGCAGTGCTTTGCTGGAGTGGGCCGTTTCGTTCCAGACCCCGTTCCATACCGTTCCATACCCGTTCCAGACCTGGACCACCCATGTACCACTCCTGACCCACTGGTGAACACATGGCATGTTCTCACATAGACTGCTCGTAAGCCATCCTTTGCGCGTGGGTTATGGGAGGGTAGAGTCTTGCTATGCATGGACACAATCTACCCCATAGGGACCTCTGAGTTTTAAGAGTAGGAGGTGGACCTGCGTGAAAGGTCTGAAGCTGAGTCGACAGCTTCACATGGTAGCCAGTGGGTGACACTGGCTACCGGTCGTGTCGTATCTAGTGCACGAGCACTAGCCATGCAATGCAAACCTGCGTTGAACAGGTGTACAACAAGGATGTCGTGCAGATGAGGAGTAGCTTCAACGTGCATATCCTTGAGATGTATATTATATATGTTACATATAATGTATATATATTTATATATGTTTATTTATGTATAGCCTATATTTCATCACACTCCAAAGGTCCGGAACAAGACTAATTACGAAGCCCCTTCGTTCCATACGTCCGGAACACCGCGGAACGTTCCATACACAATTTTGACTCGGGACCATATATTCATTATATATAATATAATATATGCTCTATAAATATATATATATATACATTATATATTAATATATATATATAGATAGATTTGTTGGGATAAAATGTCAAAAACCGTGGAACCACTCTAGATTCCTTTGATTTGTTTCTTGCATCAATGCAGCTGGTTGAATCTCCCCTGACGGCGCTGACTGAAACGTCCATCGGTTTGATGCCCTATTGTGAATCCCCATGGCTGTTGTTCAGCTTCTAATTGTGCGGCTTACCCTCTGGTAATTTAACATAACTATGGAAAATCACCATGTATAGTGATTTTTCCCATTAAAAATTGTGATTTTCAATAGCTATGTTAAATTACCAGAGTGTAAATATTTAATGCCCATGCCTACTGATTGAAATCCAGTTCTTGCTTGGTGTATCAACTTTTTAGCAACATGTATAATCTCAATTCGTGCTCAGTCAACCTCCCTGATTTTTGCTGGCCAATAAGTTGGTTTTGGTTCGCATAGTATCATAGGATAGATGTGTTTACATGTTTTCTCTGTATTGTCCATTAATTTGTTATTTATATGTCTTTTGATGTTGGTTGGCATACCCACATTTTCCTTTTCCCAGTGAAGTCTCAGAATTCCCATGTTGTTTGAGTATGCCTTAGTGGCCCACTATGGCCTTACTGGTCAAACAAGCATCCAGATCCCACGGGTCCGCACGGGTCCGCAGCATTGATTTGTATAAGCAAATTCTGTGCGTTGCATAAGTGACAATTAAAAAAGGTAGAGCAAGCCTTGTTTTCAAAGTTAAACCCATTTAAACCCCATAAAAGTGGGAGCAGAATGCAGGAAACCATTGAAATATACGGCTGGGTGGTTTTCCAGCCGTAGGAAATTCCATAGACCCCCAAGCCATCCTAGCCGTAGCGGCTTGTTGGAGGTTCCAGTCTGCTGGGCAATTTGCTGGCACTCCTGGCAGGTGTTTCATTGGGATGCATGTTCATCAGCTCCAGGAGCCCATTTTTTCATTTTTTTCCAGTTTGGTTGGGGACATTTCACTACAAACCATGCATTTTTGGTGGTATTTTTGTGTTTGTCTTGGTTTAAAAAAAACTTGATGCCATGTATTTGAGGAGTTTTCCCTCACCCATAAGAATCTGAGATGGGGTGACTACCAAACAGAATGGATACCTTTGAAAAACATGAGGTGAAGCTTGGTGGTAGCATGAAGTCGCGGGGTTACCGAAATGTTTGTCGGTTACACAACATTTTTCACAATGTTTAGTGGCTCAGTTCGCATTTTGAATTCTTGAAATTTCTTGAATCACCACCAGCTGTCGGTCAAACCTCTCATTTCTCCTGAACATATCTGCTTGTGTTAGTTGATTTTCAGTTTTGTTTGCTGATTGGATCCCCTGTCAACTATTATACCTTGTTGGCTCACCCCAGATAGTAAGTGGATATGTTCATAATTGTTCATATATTTTCCCAGTTCTGAATGGAACATCCATATTTTATCCATATAATTTGATATGTACATAGTGGTGCCCCATAGCTAAGTTGGTTTATAACATTTTATGACTCCAAAAACTAGGACTTATGGTAGATATATCTATATATAGTGACGGACATATACTTAGAACATCAATTTTTCCAAAAATTCGGAACCTTTTCTTAGAACATCAAAACAACTACACTTAGAACATCAGAAATGTTCTAAGTACGCACTTAGAACATCAGAAAAACAGATACTTAGAACATCTCCTTTGATTTTTTGCATACTTAGAACATTAAACACACATATACTTAGAACATGTCCTGTTACTTTGGTAAATCTGCATATATACACACAAATACCTTGGTGAAACCATACTTAGAACACTTTCTCCCCTCACTGCTGCAGCATTCTATACCTTTTCTTCGGGAACAATATCCCAAGCAGTCTTCGCTGCAATGGGAAGGTCTCTAGTATATAATTTGTGGGTTTCCTACAGCGGGTAGTCAAAAAGCATAGGTTTCAATACTAAAATGAGCTAAAATGAATTATGTATAATTTTGAATGTTTTGGAGATGCCTCATTATTGGTTCCCCACTGGGATGTTCTAAGTATAGCTTGGAAATGTTCTAAGTATAGGTTTTGGGTATGTTCTAACGGCTTAATACTTAGAACATCCCCGCTGTGACGATTTTCAGATTTTTTCCAAATGATGTTCTAAGTATTTGTCCGTCGCTATATAGTTGATGGGGTCATAAACCAACTTGTACTGGTTGGTGGTTTGGAACATGGCTTTTATTTTTCTATATATTGGCAAGAATCATCATCGCAATTGACGAATTCATATTTTTCAGAGGGGTAGGTATACCACCAACCAGTCAAATTATGGAGGTTTAACCGTGGTTTAACCACCAAACAATATAGCAATATATAGGTTTAACCATGGTTTACCACTGGGGGGCTACCACAGTATGGCCCTGTAACCTTAAAAATCCTTAAAACTTACGGTGATCGCAGGAAGTCCGGCTCCGCCTCATCGATGATGCTGACCACTTCGGCCATGCTACTTGGAGTTGTTGCTGGGATTTTCCCTCTGGTAATCTAACAAAAAACTATGGAAAATCACCACTTGATCCATTGGTGGATCATCTATAAATGGCGGCCATTTGCAATAGCAAACTGTTAGTTTACCAGGGGGTAATTAAATAAGATCCAAGTTATTGGTTTCAATTAGTTTTTGTTTCTCAATGTTCAAGCATATTATTAATTACTATATCATTTTGATGATTTTGAATGAGCAATATGGAAAAGGAAAGCCGCTGAGCCTCAGGAGACCCCTGTTTTTGGTGTGTCGTGCTTTTGGATTGCCAATGATCGCCCTAGTTTCCATATCGTCTCCTAGACTTGGTTATGTCACGAGAGAGAAAAAACTATAGAGGTAGCCTCCGGCAGTCAAACATGCTTTGGTTATGTTTGGTTGGGAAATTCCCCATACGTATAAATGGAGGCTTCCAATCAGAAAATCGTTGGAAGTGGTGGATTTGGCATCGCCGTGTTTGACAACCAAGCTCCTCAGGTGAACCACCTGGGGGTGTTGGTTAGGGTGGTTCCAGCAATCAAACAATGGACATTTTCCAGCATACTTGATCACCTATCAAAACCCGCATTGAGTTTGGGGATTTTCAAGCTAGCCACGTTTGACACCGCAGGACACATGGGTGACACGAGTTGTTTTCCACGGTCAGACGGTCAGCTTAGGCTGCAGCGCTGCATCATTTGTTGGTCCTTGCATTTCATCCCAGCAGTGCCCGACGGACGCTTCGAGCTGTTGTGTCTTGGAAGGATTGGATGTCCTGAATACATTGCCGACATTGCCCAATCAGCCAAAATAGTCCATTTATACTCGTATATACTGTAACGTTTTTTTTTGAAAAAAAACAGTATTTTTATATATATATATCTGTATACCAAACATGTATAATTGAATTATATATATGTATATGTATATCTTTGTTTATCTATTTATCTATTACACATGATCCATTCAGTCCAACACATGTTTATTGCATATTTGATTTCAATATATTGAACATATTCGGTTTCATTTCGCCATTACCAACAGTTAAGGTGAGTTGGCGATAGCACGTGATAGCGGTTTCAATCCTTCTCACATCACAACATTAATCCAAGTTCGGGAGCGGGTCATTCATTTTAGAACCTGACTAAGAAAAGAGAATCACTTGGAACTCTTGGCGTTGGTGGCTTCAACTAGTGTATCTATGTCATTGGATTAGTTCAGTCGGGAAAATTTACAGGAAATCTTCATGTTTTATGGTAGAAACCATGGTAGAAACCATGGTTTCCTGTAGATTTTCCCTTAAACCAATCCATTGAATCTATGGGATATGCGGTGCCAAGGGGAAAGAGCCTTCCACAGAGTCTCCTCTTCTTCTCCTGCCTGGCGGCTGCGCCTTGGCCGGCCGTTTCTCAGCGTGGTCAAATGATGTAGTTTACCCATAGTAATTATATCTAATGTTTTCTAATGTTACTAAGTAATTTTACCAAGTAAGCTACATAGTAATCAAGCCATGGTATACTACCATCTAGATTTATTTTTTGCTCATGATATATAGAGATAATTATTCCATAGTAATTATATCTAACTAGCCATTTGTCAAGTGATCCGTATTAATCCATCATTGTGTGAACAAAAATGGACTAAGTGAGCACTTTCCCTGTAAAGTAAGTAGGGTGAATGCACCCACAAACACGATCATTTTTGGTTGGTTAAGTCATCATTTTCCTACCAGTGGAACCAAGAACCTATGCAATCTTAGAGTCTGAGAAAAAAAACTGGGTTTTGCATCAAAACCCAGGTTTTGGAAATCAATGATTATATATTATTATATATATAAAAAAACAAAAACATCTTGAAAAATCATGATTCGTCATGAATGGGGACGTTAAGTCGGCTAGGGTGCGCACACTCTACTGTCACACACACACACACTTGTAAGACAGAATGTCTGTTCACGAGGCTCATATTGATTTGTGATTTTTTGCTCGTGAAAAGGCCGTTGTACCCAAACATGTTTTAAACAATGACAAATTGATTACGGTCGCCGCTGTGAGTGAATCACAGAATTCAGAAATCGAAATGGGCACATGGCAGGTACGTCTGACTGATCAGGTCAGATATCACCAGCACTCATCCAGTGTCTTCGTTGGTGCAAGACTGGATGGGCTGCTCGCACCCCCTGCCTTAAAACTGAAAAACTATGAAAAACTGAGCAATTCGTAAATCCCTTGGAAACAGGGGTTGACCCCACACACAAAAACCTATCGCCGCTGTTATTTGTCGGCCACAACGCGCTGTGAATATCTGACAAAGCGAAGCCTTTCTGTACATATAACCGGGATAGTGCGTGCAACGAACTCTGGGCCTGACAGGGCGGAAATGAATATCTACGAATGAAATGAGCTCGACTCTTCAGTCCGCTCAAACGCAGTCGGAGGGTTCCGGCTGAAACATTGTCCCGAATCTGGCGAATGTCCGGTAACTTGTAAATGATTGTTCTTTCAGAAACATCAACATAAAAGCCGGGAAGTAAATTGTCGTCAACAAGCTCCAGTTCGACTGGACATGGCTGGACATGGCTGGACTGCCATAAAAGTGCAAGTCTGTAAACACTTGAAACACTGGAGCCTCCCCTGCCCTAAAATTGAAAATTGAACAATTTGCAAATTTGTAAGTCCCTTGGAGCCAGGGGTTGACCCCACACACGAAGGCCTGTCGCCGAATATCTGACAAAGCGAAGCTTTCTGTACATATACCCGGGCTAATGCGGGCAACCAACCCTGGGCCTGACAGGACGGAAATGGGGATTTACGAATTAAGTGAGCTCGACTCTTCAGTCCGCTCAAACGTAATCGGAGGGTTCTGGCTGAAACATTGTCCTGAATCTAGCGAATGCCCGGTAGAAACATCTACATAAAGGCCGAGAAGTAAATTGTCGGCACAACAAGTTCTAGTTCGACTGGCCTGAAAAAAGCCCAAGTCTGTAAACACTTGAAGCACTGGAGTCTGAAGATGGTGCTTCTGTACGATGACAAAACGGTTGTCGACGTACCTGATTGCAAGATGATGAGATTGAGGTTGGTTCAGAACTTCACGATACATACTGCTCCACCATCTCTCGAAAAGCGTCACGGCCAAGGTCGAAAGTCGAAAGTGTCGGAGAAATCTGTGACTTCCTAGCAGCGCCTTTGACGCCATATAGTGCATCAAACTGCCAAGCGCGGTGGAAAAAGTGAACCTGCAAATTAATGCAATTAGTCTATACCAAAGAAGAGTATCGGTGCCGGACACTGATTCTTTCTGAAATCGGGGGAACGAAAAGATCCAGAAAATGTATTCTCAGCGCCGCACCTTGCTGTGACAGATCCACAGAGATTTCACTGCGTCGATTCTGCCACTCATGAGTCAAAGAATCAGAATGCACTCCATACAACAGCCAGGTCTGAGGAACACTCTTAATGAAACCAGCAAGATCATCATTTATGAAATTTATGTACAGGTCGAATCTGCGCCATCCAAACATGATGGACAGTTTGCCAAGTCTGTGGTGTACTTTGTTCACCAAGCGATAGTGGCCACATTTCGCACAAAATAGAACCCAGAGCTCTTGATACTGCTGTCAAAATCTGAGACGAGAACGACGGAACATACTTAATGAGACGAGAATGACACACACACACACACACCACACACACACACGCATATCCTTATAATTATCCTTGCGCATTCCAATCACCACACTCTCCTTCTTTCATCATTCTTTCTCGCAAGTAGCGTTGCTGAACATAAGTGGAGGAGAGAAAGTTAGGTACTGACAAAATCCCCTGCGGTTCCAACAGCAGTAGATACTAGTAGGGTCCTTCACCAACACATTCAGTTTTATGGTTGTTCATCTTAGGAGACTTCTGCTGTTTCCATTTTTGCATCTTCACCTTCAGCCAATGTGAAGTAGCTATGGTGACCAGTAGAACCATTTTCTGGCGCCATGCCCAGCGAACCCAAGCAAAGTTCCACCAATCAGAGGGGAATGACCATTCTTGCAACATCCTCAAAGGCTGAAATGCGTATAAAAAAGGTTAATGTAAACAGGCCCAAAAAATGAAAGAATTCACCAATCTTTCTCTAAACCAATTCAGATTTCACGGGTATGCCGCATTCTCTTCTCATCTAATTTTGGATACAGGCTTGGCATGCTGTGGCAAAACAGCGACCAGCCCACAAAAACAGCTACCGCGGCCATTCGGGCTGAACCCCCAAAAAACATTAAACAATTACGGGTTTTTACGGCTTAATTACAGGTTTTGTACGGTTTATTTTTATTTTAAAAAAAAACAGGTTTTGTACGGGTTTTGTTGTAGAAACTTAACTTTTTTCAGGACCTGGACAATTTTCCAGGGTATGATTTGGATGACAAAATTGCATTCTTGCACTCTCTTGCAGTCACCTTACATGAATGGATATGAAGCCTTTTCTGGTGAGAAACTGCCTTTTCGGCGGTGGGATCAGACTGCAGGTGTTGGAAAGTGATCACCGCGTGATCTTGGAAATGAAATCAAATTCTGCCGGTAATAATTTCTCTTCAACGGACCTCTGCAAATGCTTCAACGCACATACGTACATAAATAATTTGATATCGCTATCGCATGCTATCGCCATGTACTACATGATATTTATATTGGTTGGGCTGCAAACTTAGCCCATCCAAAATGTTATTCCTTTGGTGGATGTGAATTGCAGTTGCGCAAAGGTTGAATGAAAATACATATATACAACTAGACAGCTAAATACAGTTGAAGTTCTATGGTCGATTACAGTAATACACAAACTCTATAAGTGGCAGTTCTGTATCTTCTTGATATTGGACTTGAGGATGCTATTCGAGGTTATGGGTGACCTAAAGCAAGGCGGGCTATCAAAGGAAGGGCTGGGATATGTTGCTGCAAATAAAATGTGATAAACTGCACCAAGCCAAAAGATATCTAGATCGTTTTTAGGAACAAAACCCATATTTTCAGAAACGATGCAGAAAAACTTTTTTTTGGGGAATAAACGCAAAATGTGAGGTTTTAGGTTCGCTAGATGTTAAATTCCCATTAGTTAGTCGATATCTATGGATTGGTTCAGTCGGGAAAACCTGCAGGAAACCAAAGGTTTTCCCATTAAATATGGGGTTTTCCTGTGAATTTTCGCGACTAAACCAATCCATTGACAATAAAAAGTCATCATGTTCCAGCATTTTCCTATGGTTTCCTGTTTGGCGGCCTCATCCCTTTGGTGAGGCCATTTTTCTCACCAACATCCTCTCTTCGGTGGCCTCCAAGAAATGCCCTGCTGCGTTGAGTTCAACCATGATGAATGGCAGTTGTATGGCCTTTGGGTACCTCTGAAGGGAGTTGAGAACTGGAAATGATGGCATAATATGGCATAATGGCATATGCTATCTTTAATGGGAAAAAATATGAAAAAATTAGGTGTTAGATTGTTAGATGTTAGGGATTTGCGGTATTGTTGAAAATGAAATTCGAGAGTAAGCCACGAGCCACGCATTTTTGGGTGATTTCAGCGGAATTTACCGAGAAACAGATGGGAGTCTAGCAGCAATGCACCTGGAGATCACCAAGAGAAAACGACAGCGAACAAAGATGGAGAGTGAGGATAATTTCATTTCGAAAAAATCTTGAGAACTTTGAACTGGCCATCAAACAAGGCAATTGTACTACCGAAAAACTGGAAATTGAGGTTGAGGCACGGACAAATGAGTCATGAAGGAATCAAAATTGGATTGGATTGGGCAAAATGGGTAGGTTCTCCGCATAGGGTGCACCCTAAAAGTTTGAGGTGTAAATAACTTGTGCATATGCCAGAGACGGCCTCGTCGATTGAGCACCCAGGTACGTCATGGATATCCTGATTTTCCACAAAGTTCCTACCAAGCAGCTTGGCATCGTGAAGTTTTCGGGGATCGCCCCTGCCCCCTAAATGACATGAATCATGAGTAGTTGCTAAACCTATTCAACTCTAGATATATCGTGATATATCATGAGACCGTCGCGAGATATCCATCGACGATTCAACGAAATCGTCCTACTTATTTTTGTTTTATTTCTTCCAACTGGCACCTCTTAGCTTTGGGTATCCCAAAATGATATCCCTTAAGAGCGCATGGCGGTCCGATGATGCCGAGGCTCACAGTGATTGGTGCCGCCATGATGTTGTTGGCTGTGATGACAATGGCCCTCACTCGCTTGCCGAGAAAGTCGACAAGGACTTCCTTGGATTGGAGAAAAGTGTAGGTTTACCCTCAACTACGGGGAACACATGGTTTTGTGAGATTTTACCATCAACTATGGGATTTTAATGGGATTTAACGGGATATAATGGTATTACCAGAGGGTATCCAACGGTCAAAAAGAATCAACAAAAAAGGAATTGTATTTGATTCAAGGCTTGTTTAATTTGATTTGGGGTTAGAATTCAAATTTGCAGTCATGATTTTAGATACTGTAAGGTTTATTATTATATATCCAAGTTTTCCTTCGTACTAAATGCCAACGAGATGTATTTGTATCTTGATCCGTTCTGGTTTGCCGGAATAAGACTTCTGCAGTCCCGTGTCTTTTCAAAATCGCCCGTTGCATAGTATTTAAAACTATGACGGTCCAATAGGTTCCAGTATCCATCCAGACTATCCCCGAACGTTTTCAAATTCATATTTGTCATTACTTCCCTATGTCAGATTTTATTGCGTCGCTCGTTCATCAGATTTTATTATATGGGTCCCCCCCCCGTTAAGGATTTAAAATCATGATAATCATGTTTTCAGTAACTGCTGGGACTTGTTCTACAATCACTGTTGCCCATCATTTCAGGGAAATTCAGCCCCCAGGGTCACCTGGCTGGAGGTTGCCACCAGCCCCTCAGGACAGAGAACAACCTTTCGACCAAAGAAGACACGGCCACACCCAGCAGCGTTGCCAGTGCTACGAGTTTGGCTTCCTTTGTGGCCTCCGAATTTGCCGAGAGACAGGACGAGACGAGCCGAATTTTCCGCCCATTTCGATGGGGGGGATTAATCAAAACACCCGGGACCTTGGTGTGGAATTGTCCCGTATACCGGCCAAAATGGTCAAGTTCATGATTCCTGATGGATAATGAGATGATAGCATCGCACTTTGGGTTATCCAGAAAATCAGACAAAGCTTCCTGAAGCCTGTATGGTCCATGGCACTTGATACTGTTACAGTATATGTTTCCATGTGCTATTCTTGCTGCAATGTTTCATTGCCAAAAGGTAGATGAACATTCCAACATATCCATAGAATCTATAGTGGCCCCAATTATGGGACACATTCCCACAATTTTCCTATACAATTGGGGGTTCTGAAATGATTTCGTATGGGAATCACCAGGGGCTCACAGATCACGATCATCCCAAGTTTGGCTATTGCTGTCTCCTCAATCACTGAAAACACACTGCTGTTTTGGTTTCTTCATGACAATTATCATTGCTGTTTCATCCTATTACGGTTATTGCTATTGCATATCAATATCATTACTTATTGTTGATTATTGCCATGCCATGTATTTTTATGATTGTTCCAATATTGGTTTTTGCTTAAACCATAATTATATCCAACATTTTTCCAGCAATCCTTCCTCCCCGGGGAAAAAAACATGTTTTGCATTGTTTTGCTTAAAAATTAGGAAACAGATCCCAGATATCCCATATGGTATGCTTGTAAACAACATCCATAGCGTCATCCCACCACTTTTCAGGAGATGATTCCTTCGGAGTTGCCAGAGCCAAGCGTTTCCGGACCAAGGCCTGGCTCAGTCACATCCCAAGTTTCCCAAAGAAATGTCAAGCGTTGAAAGTTCACATCCCGTCACGGGATAGTGAGATGTTGAGATGCATATTGTAATTAGCTCTTGCCAACACCAAGTCAGTGGACGCAAACGTTCGCAAACGTTGCCCTTTGGTCATGACTAACACTTTGCAAACTGCAAAAAAAATACATAAGATGCAACTCACAGAACCCAACGGGCAATTGGCAGCTTTCCATCACAAACTGTGGGCCTAGTACCTTTGTTCCATAGATGACTGTCCCACATATTTGTACCTCCCTCTTGATATCACTACTATTGTTGGCTTAAAGATCATAATAGCCTTATGGATCCTTATGGCTGTTCTTTCCGGGCAGATAGCGTCCGAAAATGTCATCAATCCCCGCATGGCGAGGCAGCGTTTGCCGTCGACGCTGCCGGCAACTCTCTTTGGTGCACAAGCGTGAGCATGAGCGAAGAATCCCTGGCCGTGGGAAAGCAGGTGAACAAATATGGGGATATGAAAGTGCCAGCAGCCGGTACCTTCCGGTAAGCAAACAGCTTGCTAACTCGAAAATGGATGAACATGGACAAACATGGACCATTTATAGATGATTTACCTAGTAAGACGGTGGTGATGTTTCATAGCGTCGTGAAATTACTACATGGAAACGGCAATGATGACAATGCTGACAATCCCAAGATGGTAGAATTAAATGGAATGAAGTGCTTGCCATAGTTTAACCACTGCGTTTTGTGTCGCGGAAATCCATGGAACATTCCAGCACCATGGAATTTGGTCGACTTTGCGAGTTTCCGCGGGGATTCTAGGGTGGCTTTCGAGCTGCTCTGAAGATGGCTCTGGGTTGATGATTGTGGCTGATGCTACAGTATTTTTTTTACAATTTCCTTTATACCTATATCAATGTATTATCTATATCTATATCTATATCAGTCTATAGTGATATGTATATGTATATATATATATAGACTTTGGGGATGATCACCATCTATGAGCCGGGAATCATGTTCTCAACTAACCAGTAAACTAGTAGAGTATAATGGGATGACATTAGGAGTTTCAAAGACTGCTCAACTGCATAAGATGTACAGATTAGGGTGCCTAGCCAACCTGTACAGTGGCTGCGTGGTGTCGCTGGTCGTTGCGGGTGTCGCAGTTTCTAAACGCGTGCCGGCCATGCTACGTGGCGTACCTGACTTCCCACCCTTCAGAGGCTGGTTTCCCGAGAGTGAGCCACCAAAAATCATGGAGAGCGATGGTTTTCCAAAAGGAGCGCTGGTGACTTCTGGTTCAGAGCTTCCGTAGATACTGCATGGCATTTATCCCGGCTTCATTCTGGCAAAGGACATCCTTGGAGAGGTGTCGGTCAAAGTTTGTTACCATCTAAAGGTTCAATACAACGATTTGTATACAGCTTAGTCAGGGAAAAACGCATAGGTTGACTAGATCCCGGTTTGCTTTGTGATTGTTTGATATGTTTGGTGTCTAAAATGTTGACTAAGTGCTCCAGTGGCCAGCGTGTTTAGAAGCATGGTGCATGATGATTATATCATATCTCAATATATCACTGTCATGTACAGTACCCTTACAGATAAGCGCATTTTGCAATAAGTTCTCATACATTGTTTAGGTCCAGGGGGCTATCCGGTTATCCATGGTTACGGTTATCGCAGTCGGTCGTAGATGTGGTTATGGGTTGTGGGCTAAACTTACATACACAATAAAATTATATATAAATATGTGCAGTTTTTATATATAATTATTAATATATATATATACTAATATGTTTTTTTTTTTAAATATAAGTTGTTTATATTCAGCATATAAGTTTTTCATAAGCTGTTTACAAGTTGGGTTAACTTGGGTTAAGTTACTTTAAGTAAGTTATAAGTATATATCATTAGTTATAAGTTACTTAAAGCAACTTAGACCAACTTATGCGACTTAACATGTTTTACTTAGGTTGGAGTTAGATCATACTTAGGTTTGACTTAAGTCTAGTTAGCTATTGTTGTATTTTTTGTGACAAACAGCTCTCAGGACTGACTTTCTTTGTAGCCATTTGGGGGAAATCTGTTGGGGAAACCATTCATGTTGGATCAAACACCATATATGACATGGAAAGGATCAAAGACTGCAAAACAGAACATTTTGCGTCTGCATGGCATGTCGGCCAGATGTCGGCCAGCATTCACATGTAACACGTTCGCAGCATGTCGGCCTGCATGTCGGCCCTGCTAAAGTAATATTAAACACCATATTGCAGGTTTGCACACCGCGTGTCGGCTGGATGTCGGCCAGTGTCGGCCATGAGATTTTCTCTGCAGCCACTTTTTTGCTCTGTGCAGACCGAAACCCCACCATGAGATCTATGAGCCAGTGTGGTGGCCATCACCTTCCTCTACTAACAAAACCGCACAAAACCAAAAGCATGCGCCAGCAAAGGGAAACCACATTTTCCAAAAAAAAAGCTACTTAGCTTCAACTTAAGATGAACTTAGTAACTTCGTTCTAAGTTGTCTTAAGACTACCTATCTTAAGTTCACCTAAGTTCACTCTAAGTAACATAATTCCAACCTAATTAAAAAAAACGTATTAGTATATATATATGTTGGTAAAACTAAAATTATGCTTGTCCGCATTTTCTTCGCACATTTACAGCATGAATGTCATATTATGTGTTGATCACTTCTTTGGTCCATGTCGATGGATCTTGCGATTCACGTTGACCGTTGACCTTCTGGGAATCCACATTTGCTGATGTTTTTTTTTCAAATGAAATATGGATAAATATGGCCATGTTCCATCAGCAAACCTAGATGGGGAATTTTATGGCCAATTTATGCGAGTTTCCTTTATTCTTTTCGCAATGTTAGATTGCCAGAGGGTAATGTGGTAAACCCAATGCTCTAAACCTACCACTTGGTGTGTGGATTTTGGGAGGGATTGTTCACAACTGGCATCATCATTTGCCACCTGAAATTTGTGGTGCTGACATCGCCTCCCTGGAACCGGTCAGGAGGCCGAGCACTGCCACGCGCAGTGCCTGTCACTGGCGCCGGAGAGCGACAAGAGCGACGAGCAGCGCTTCCGCCGGGCGCTGAGTGCGGTGATCACACGGAACTTCGCGCTGCAGGCGCGGCGCTTCGGCTGGGTCCAGATCCCCTGAGATCCACAGAAACATCATATAACTAGGATCAACTAGGATCATATATATATATATACACATATTGTGTTATATATATATATGTGTGTTTATATCTAACTATAACTATAATACACTGTAAGATGTGTCCTGTAACATCCTGTCATAAATACTGTATATCCACGAATCCATACCAAGTAATAGTCATAGTTCCTTTGGCATAAGTATGACTAAAACATAGTTCTCAAAGAAATCAGCAGCTTGACAAACCCCAACTCATGGGAGAATCTATGTTGCGGGGTGGTATATTTTTTTAATTTTGTGTGTATATATTGGTGCATGTAGTATCATGTAAGCGTGTAGCCAAGTAAAAAGGAAATTTTCAATGGGCAAAAAAAGTGATGGGTATTCTTCCAGCGATTGCTGTCCAACCCTCCATGGACTCGTGTGTCGACAAGTTGAAGCCTGTAGGGCTATAGTCATGTGTCAATACTCCGAATGCTCGAACGGTTAAGTTAGGAATACATAATAAAGTGGGTGTCACCAACATACAATGAGCTGCTTTCTACCTATATTTGAATCAACATCATCTATAAATATATATATATACATATATATATAGTATGTTGATAAGAGTGTGCCAGCAAATGATGCTTGTAAACAAGCATTGGTTTTATATAAAGCCAACATGACCCAAGCAAGCTGTATCGCCTAGGGGCCGGCACTGGCTTTGCTTCCATTTCTGGATTTCTTCAACCATCGCAGTGCTATGCGTCGCGGCTCTATTGATTGGACCTGCTCCTTTCATGAGAGGTGCACGCACTCAGTGGCCAGCATGGTATCTAACCTGGACTAGGAGCGATGACTTGAGCAAAGCCCTGGAGAGTTCAGTAGTTGCTTTAATTTTGTGCTATTCTTAGACGAATATGTTAACCTATCCAATCCCAACCAGCTTACAACAGCTTTTTTTTGCAGGGGTATCGAAGATTGGCCATGGACTCCATGGACATGTTCAATTGAGTTCCATTGAGTCCAGTGGGAATCCCGATGAAAGTATTCGGTCTCGGTCCCGTTTGTTGAGGGATTGCTGTTTTCTTATTTGAATGCATTTGGTAAGCTTACGAAAATGGTTGGTGCAATACAAACTTGGAAAAGAAACAAAAGATCTTCGATGTGAGTTCTCGGATTCTATCAGGTCATTACCAACACGAGTATCCATTGGTAGGTTCGACTGGTGGGTAACTCCCCACAGACATCAGAATTCTCCGGAAATCATGGGATTATGGTACGATCAAAGACCCACAATGAAGGCTTTCGTCAAGGCAGCTTTCTGTTTGGCTATAGCTCCAACGACTGTTGGGTATATGGTAAAGATGAATCTACAGTTGACTACAGTTGAATCGGTCTATATCGATCTCAAATTGCACATATTGCCAACATTTCAAAATTTGCTTCAACCATGATTTTAGAACATGCTAATCATCATGGCAATACTAATGCTAAGACTAAGAATGTATATATAATTATATATTATATATTCAATATATATATATATATTATTTTTATTTATTTATTTATTTATTTAGTTTTTTATGATTATAATTATACCCATATTAGTGTTTATTATATATATGTAGATATATACAGTATATCATGATTACTGTACAGTAGTCTTACATGATGCCTGGCCCCGGCATCCGCCAGGCACGGCTCCGTGGCCATGGTTGCGGATCGCTTCATCGCTGCGGGCGAAGAGCTGAGCTTCGTCTACGTCTCAGCGCCGGACGCAGTGCTGCTGGTGCAGTATGCCATGGCGCCCGAGGTTCTCGGCAACCTGCACAACATGGCAGGCGCCCGGCCCTGGGGTCATTTAGAGTATGTTTCAACATGTTTTAGGATCCCTGTTGGTTGATGATTAGTAGGGGATTATGAGTTACACATTGGGGATTATTAGCATATTACAATCCATTAGGAGGATCATGTGTTCAACCTGTGTAAAGCAACGACATGGGGTTTTGAATACTGCATTGGGGTGGGTTGCAACAATAGAGGATACCTTATTTCTGGATATTTGTGGCATTTGATGAGATGTGTTTGATTTGATCAAATTTGCGGGTCTGAAGGCTGAAAGCGTTTCTGCATAGAGGGGCACACAATAAACGACAAAGTGGTACATGTTTTGTTTTTGTGCCACATCCAATTGAAGGTTTCATGTTGATTGGCATAGCTCCTAGCTGGCATTTGCAGCTCGATCTGGTCCTAGCCACTCTACAGCGTCTACTGAATACACCCCATGAGTTCAGTCTTGGATTCTTTCAGTCTTGTGAGTAGGAAAATTGGACATTGACATCACGGGGATTGGTTTCTGGGTTTCTTTAAGAGGTTTTTTGGTCCCATTGGGTTCCAGCAACTGAAATCCTCCACTGGGGCCATGGTTTTTTCAGGTGTCCAGGTTTTTCCTGACGATGTCGGCGCGGTGTGGGAGGAGAAGTGGCGGCTTAGCGGTGGATCCTGATGGGCGTTTGAGTCATCGGTGAGCCCCCAAAATCCATAACTTGTTGAACGTTTGGCTAGGGGAATATAACTATAATTAGAGTTAAAAGGGTCATAAACCTGGGCCTCAGCTTGTACAAACAGTTTTTACTGCTTGGGAGGTTCCAATACTTAGATATACTTAGGCTGTTTGTGAACCTTATCACTTGGGATGATTGGAGCCCTGAGCCCAGGGGTTTCGCGTAGGATGTTATATCCTTTGGAACATGGAATGGCTTATTGTGATGATTTACCTATCAAAAATGGTCCATAATATCATAGCTACGTTATAGGTTACCAGAGGGTCAGATGGTATACTGAACTCTTCGGAAAGGCGATGGAGAGAGAGAGAGAGAGAGAATTAAAAAACATGTTTAAAGCCATTGTCATGGTTGAACCCGCTATGTGTGCTCATGATAAAATGATGTCTACTTATGTCTACTTCTCATGGACTTGCTCTATCTATATTAATTTATTGAGGGTGATATTGGTGTTGAGGATCTCACCCCCCAAAAAAATAGAACAGTAAATGCATACTGAAATAGTGGTAAGCTACTTTTCTATCTTGCAGGGGGTTCATATATGTTGTTACCGGAGGCTATAGTATCAGTATGGGAACCATTTGTAAAATATACTATCAATAACTCTTGGGATATCACTTTTGATGGATCCAAGATATCATAGCTAAATACCTAATTATTAAATTTCAATCTTATGTCATGTGTTAATACGTATCCATTCCTACATATTCAAATACTCCATATATATATATATATGCATAACTTGTTGACGCTATTTTTTTGATCCTGGGACTTGCAATATCTACTCGTCTCCTAAGGCGTGTGCTGAAGCAATGGGGTTGGAATGGACATGCACCGCTGCTGTTCACGGTGCCGGACACTGGGCACCACTGCGAACCACTGGGCACCAGTTGGCCACATGACTAGTGTCTTCAAAGTAGAATTGGCTTACCACATTTCAACATGATCATTGGGTTTACTAAGGTTTACTACATTTGTCCTACTCAATTACTATTCAATACTATTCCAACACATATCAGTATGTATATATAGAGATATATATATATATATATGAATAGATTGTTGGCTATATACAGTACATATATTCCCGTGATATTCCCATCATGACCATTATTTTTCACACCATAAAAACCACCATGACAACATCCGCCGTTGTCTTCAGGACGCTCTTTTCCCCGGTGCGGCCTTGCGGCGGCTGGCAGAGCTGCTGGCAGCGGACACCTGAGAGATGTGGGAAAAATGCAGCAAATGTGGGAAAATGATTGGCAGATTCCTAGAAAAATGATGAAGCATGGAGATTTATGAGGTTTGAGGATTTTAACTTGATATTTGTTGGGGATTCTGATTGGAGAACATGATGAATTAACTCCAGTCTGCATGGGAATTGTCTAGATCTGTTTTCAAATGTAGATCTAGGTAATTTCATGACATTTGTTGTTTAGGATGAACCTCATAGAATTTGCTGGAGATTTAGAATTTTATCAATCTGGTAAACATGTACATGTTTGATGGTTGAATAACAGGAAGATCAGGAAGCAACCCGTTGGGAAAGTTTGTTCGTAACTAGGTCAACGATTTGGGGTTATGGTATATAGATATAGCTAGAACTGGATGGGGTTGTAAACCAACTCATAACTTAAGACTAGGGGGCCCTTTCCCGCAGGATTACCTGGGAATGTGTTTTTTGGCAGTGTTTGACATATTTCACAATTTGTTTGTGATGGCCTGGTTTAATGAATGTCAACCCTTGGTTACATGTGAATTTGCCAATATATAGTTAATGGGATTGAATGGGGCACTACTGGCAGTTAACCAACAAGAATGTAGATCAAACGGGAAAGGAAGGTATTTGTGGATTTTTTTCTGTGTCATTGTTTCACGTTGTTTTCAAATAATGTCAACCACGAATTCAGAAAATTATTTAGGCAAGGTCCTTCTGACCAAAGCAGATAGCACGGTTGTTTGTTCATCCGCGGAAATATTTACCCCCAAAAGATGCAGAAACAATTGAAATAATGATAAACCTGGTATAAACAAGATGGGCCTCCCTAGATAGCGAAGATGATTTATAACTCCAATAACTTTGGTTCATGGTAGATATGGCTATAGTTTATGGGGTTTGGAAACTAACTTCTAATTAGGGCGGCCTAATGCGCCCTACCTTGTTTTTTTAAATAAATAGATAGATGGATGAAAGGATGATAGATGGATAGATGGATAGGTGGATAGGTCGATAGGTGAATAGATGGATAGATGGATAGATGGGTAGTTGGATGGATAGATGGATAGATAGTAGATAGATAGATAGATAGATAGATAGATAGATAGATAGATAGATAGATAGATAGATAGATAGATAGATAGATAGGTAGATAGATAGATAAATAATTTAGACATATTTCATATATCAAATTACATAGACATATATTTTATATACATATACACATATTTATTTCTCTCTCTCTATATATATATATATATGTTAAAGACACACACATATATATATAATATTTATACACACATTAATATGTATATATATATATATACACATTGTAGACACACACATATATATATATGTAATAGACATATTTCTACATATTAAATAGGCACACAACATATATATATATACATATTATAGACATATGCCTATTTTTTTCATAATATCTATTTTAATATTATAGACATATATTTATATATACACATTATTCTTTATAGACAAACATGTTCAAATAGAAATAGATATATACATTTTTATGTATATATATATGAGGCACATATACATATATATATGTTTATAGATATATATATATATATATATAGACAGTTTTTTTATATATAGGCATATGCATAAATAATTATAGGCACACACATATATATATATTATAGACATACATACATACATACATACATACATGCATACATGCATACATGCATACATGCATACATGCATACATGCATACATGCATACATGCATACATGCATACATGCATACATACATACATGCATACATGCATATTTGCATACATGCATATATATATATATATGTGTTGTAGGCACACACACACATATATATTTATAGATAGACATATATATATATGTAAATATATATATATGTATATTTAGATGTTTATACATATCATATATCTACCAAACCATTTCTTCGCTATTTGTGGGAGCTCCAGGAGGATTGCGAAGCCATCGCTGGTGTATGCGCTGCGGCGCAGAGCCGGGGACGGAGGCGTGACTGGTTTAGGTATGGGGCAGTTTATCCAATCTGGTTGGTGGTTTGGAACATGAATTTTATTTTTCCATATATTGGGAAAAAAGTCCCAACTGACTAATGACTAATATTTGTCAGAGGGGTTGAAACCACCAACCAGTTATCCAATAATTTAACCACGAAACTTTGGATTTGGCCAATGTAGCAAGCAGAAATCACATTTCAACCAAAAAAAATGGGGCATTACAGTTGATTCATGATAGGTTCGGTTAGTGTATAACCCGAATCATTGGTGGATCTATGGTGCAGATTACAAATCCTGAATGGACTGGGGGGGGCCCGCATTGTATGTTCGGATGGTTTGAGAATTATAGCAGATATAACGGTGTATGAAAGGATTGATGGTTTGATGCACAAATGGTTGGAATGGAATGGATGCTGCCGCTGATGGTGATGATGACGAGGAATCCTCATGATGGTGATGATGATGAGGGTTTTATTTGCATATATATATAGACTTAACATTGGACGGATAACCACAAATATGTTGGATGGAGGGATGTGCACAGAAATAATTAGATAATATTAGATACACAATTGCAATGGTAAGCTGCGAGTCATCTATATCAGCCCCCCCAGAAAAAGCAGGATGTTTACCCTCAGCAATATTGACTTAATTCCACCAGGGCCGTTGGCAAAAGACTTCGCTATGACCTTATTCGATGCATTCGGGATCAGTTCCAACAGAATGGTGATGGATTTATTTGCATTCTTATGAAGACCTGTTTTATCATAAGTCTTATGCAGACCTCACTTCACCCTTGGAAAATGAAGATGGCACAATTGCATTCAATTGCTATCAAGCAATATGTATGGTCATCCTCATGTTCAGCTGTGTTTTTGTGATTTCTGCTTGCAGTATACCAATATTGTTTTTTTTCCATGTTTTTCCCTGTCAAATATGGTTTGATTACCCAAAATATGAAGCACTTGGTTTCAGTCTTCGCAACTGAGGATTGCCCCACTTGGCGGCTCCTCAGTAACCGGGTTCAAATGACTGGTTGAAGCCGTTTGTACATAGGATCAGCCCACTTAAGGCACTTACTAACCAAGGTTATCAACCAGTTCGTGTTCCATGCTGCAACCTCTAAACTAACAAAGATATGGAGAAAACGACAAGATATGAAAAACCACATGTTTTTCAGTAGATCCTTCTATAATTCTATAGAGAAACCATACATGTTCCATTTTTTGTTAATACCTGAGGATGACCGATGCCCCAGGAGGCGCCACAGCAGCAGCGCAGCAGCTGTGCGCCTGTTGCTTTCCTGGCTGCAGCGGGCGCGCCGCCGGTTGGTGTCTTGGGCGGGTCCGGCTGGTGGCCGGTACCCCGGGTCAGGTTCAAAACGGGGGGAATACCCAAGTCATGGCCATTTTTTGATGGGAAAAGTATGGGTAAATGATGATCTTCAACTTTTGGAGTGCTACTGTAGCCTATTGCCAGACACCCAGGTTTGACAACTAGGTGAACGAATGGTTTTTATGGCGGATATCTATGAACCCGGGGCGCAGCCTAAGGCAATGCCAGATGTGTCTATAGACTCCACGCACCAGGACGTGGCCTGTTGGATCATGTTTTATCATGAGCAATTCCACATGGCATACCAGGGAAGCTTCTGGGAAACGCTGATGTTCAAGGCTTCCACTCAAGCCTTTCTTTTGAAAGTGGAACAGTTGGAGCCATGAGATGGGAATTGTTTTTGCCACAGAATGCCATATGACTGGGTGGGGGTGAACTTCCATAAATCTTCGATTTCCATTTGGGCACCATGGACCCGAATTGGCAGGAGCTGAGAAGGGCCGTTGCGGCAGTGGTGGAGGGTGAAGCGAGGGTACTGGAGCCCGGGGTAGAGCGAGCTTGGGGGCATCCGGTTGGACGGAGAGCTGAGTACAACTCATAGTTATAGCATCCCCCCTTCAAAAGTGATAGAAAAGATCTGTATCATCACTATTGTATGACTGGATTTTGCTGTTTCCATCTCTTTGGGGGTTGCTTTATATTCTGCTGTATTGGATCCGTGTATAATTGTATAATGTTCATGTTGTTTGTGCTGCTGGAAGGCGATATGTTTTTTTTGCAACACGTTGCCACGTGGTATTGTTTTCACGTATTGCCAGTACTGCTATAATGTTTCTTTTTACTTTATGGGTATCATGTGGTCTGTTTTTTAATGAACCTGCACGTTGTTTTCACTATGCTGCGATGCTGTCGGGTCCTATGGCGGCCGCTCGGGATGTTATGTCTCAATTCCGCCTCAGAAATCCGGTGATGCTCAATACCTGCCGCTATGGTGAGTCTTGTGATAATCAGCTGCTTTGATGGGCCATGGACTTAGTTATCTACTGAGTAAATGAATTATTTTTGATATATATATATATATATAATGGGTTGTGACCCACTTACTAACCAGTTAGCAAACCCCATGGTCCAAGTGAATATGGAAGGTCTGAGTTCAGCTGTGCCTCAGGAAGCCTGACAAAGCCACATTGCTACCGCGTTGCTGACGGAGATTTGCACACCCCAAATCCACATCTTACTCTTTTAACTTGTTGATGCTTCGCTGTTTTTGGGTTTTCGCTTACTTTTTCATAGTACCAACCAGAATAATCAGCTAACCAGGATAAATAGTTACATAGAGAATATACAGTGTATACATCAACCACACATATATATATATTATATATATATGTATACACGTATATATAGTCACTATCCACTATATCATCGCAAGCCGCAAAGAGATATATAGTATATAGATAATTGTTTCCAGGATGTCAGGATGGTAAGAATAATAATGTTTTCCCCCATGGCTTCCAGGTTTCCAATGTTTCATCTTTTTGGGAACTGCTAGAAATGTGGATATTGATCTGTTAGACACCATACGAGCTATGTCACCAGGAGGTATGCCTGGAGCAGTTGGAAACCGAAGCGCTGCTTGCGGAACTGAAGGCCGTCGCAGGTAGCAAGAAAAAACCATTATCATTTGGGGCTGCCGGTGGATTCTTGTTTTTTTTTTCCCCTTGGTGAACAGTTTACTAGGTGAACTGCTTTGCTTTATGTTGATGAAATAACTGTGTATAGACCATAGTATGCTATAGTTATAGAGTTGGCTATTGCCCTTTTGGCAATCTAACACTTTGCCACGACGGAAAATGGACATGTAATTTATCGGCAAAACATCCAGAAATGGATCATTTTCCATTTGGGACACTTGTAAACAACCAGAGGGTAAACAGTCAGATGTATTATGCATATTATATAGTCGAAATTGGAAAGATGTTTAAGCCTTGGATTGATATCACCATACCTGCACCTAGGCTTCCATGGTTGCTATTGTATAGTGAGTGATTGATTGTCTTTTGGGGAGAGAAGACGTCGCCGCGTGGAGCAGTAATAAGTGATTGTCAAATTCAGCTGTTTCTGTTTGTCTACTTATCTACTTGATGGCAACCTCAAGTAAAGTCGCCGCAAATGAGTACTGATAGTGTAGATGGGCACTGCAGGTTCTAAAGCTTTTGATTCATAGCCATGTGGCCCAATTCTTGCAGGTTTCCATCCCGTAAATGCCGTAAACTTCCAGATTCCTATGGCTGGTTGGCCCGTGCACGTGATTTCAGATTAGTTTAGAAGTGAACACATGCTAATACTTTGAGAATTCACACATGTAAACACCATTTGCGAAGGACCGTTTTACAACTTCATTACTTGTAGTTCGATGCGAAACTCTTCAAGGTGTGCCCGCAGTTTGAAGTTGGCTTCGAATCCTATATCCAATCGGAGGCATACAATGCACCATAAACATCCATAAACCTCAAATCTCGCGAGTTATCGACCAATCTACCTGTTTGGTGGGCCCATGTGGGCCCCACTTTGGTGCGGCGTAGTTTTACGCAACGAGCCCAGCACCAGGTACACAACCTGAGTCCAGCACGACGCCAGTGCGGCATGTAGAACAATAACTTGCTGCCACGGATGCCGAGTGTCCTTGATGAACAACATGCATCAACAAGCACTATACCGTGAGGCTATGTAAATATATATATAAATGCCCGATAATATATAATGATATATAATGGTCCCTAAATATAAAAATTCTAGAATATTCAAGAACACCCCCAATTACTCGTATTTCGGGATTTCCGGTGGCATACAATCATCACTGGTGCCCTCCCTGGGGCATCTCTACCCGGAGTGAACATTGCAAAGAACGTCCCTCACCACCTCCGCCAGTTGGGTCACTTCGACTGACCGGGCATTTCACCAACCAGTTGTCACAAGACTCACAAGACCTTGGCTTCGTGCAAACCTGTACCATATTCCGGTACTCATAAGTTACGGGCTGCTGTTCTTGGAGCCATGAGTGGTTTGAAATGAAAAAAGTGGTAGCTTGGCTTGGACTGGTGGAGGATTGCTCATTTATTCTCAACCCATTTCAACCCTATCTAAAATTTATTAAAATTTGGGATGATAAGCCCCAATGAAACATATTTATATAATTAATTTTAATGAGTCACTGAAAAGTTTGGGGGGTGAGACCCAAATGGGGTGAGAAAAACCCCTTTAAAAATATGAGAAAACATGGGAAATTAGGGAAAATAATGGAAGATAATGAAGAAAATATGACAACATGACAAGGGACATAAAAACATGACAATTTGAGAATTTGACAGTTTGCGAGAACTGTGGCTCAAACTTCTCAGTCAGTGCGCTTGGATGGTATCCAGCACGAGTTTGCAATGTCAAGGGCTCAGGTTCGTACAAAGCCTGCGGGCAGATCCATCACATGTGATTCTCAAAGGAGAATCAGGACAGCAGTGGTCTCCTTTTTCTTGTAGGTCAAAATATCTTCAAATGAACGAGCTTGAAATGGCATGGCCTCACAGAGGGCAAGGTAGGGCAGGGTCTCGCCCATCAAACATCTTCAAATATCTTCAAATGAATTAGAACAGATGGCAGGGTCTCACACATCAAGGAAGGCAGGGTCTCACAGAAAGGCAGGACTTCACAGAAGACAGGGTCTCGCCCATTAAACAAAGGCAGGGTCTCACAGAAGGCAGCACAGAAGGAAGGCCCCTCGCAGAAGGCAAAGCGTCACAGAAGCCAGGATCTCACAGAAGGCAAGGTCTCACAGAGGGCAAGGTCTCACAGAAAGCAAGGCGTGCCACTCATAGCAGGGACTCACACAAGGCATGGTTTCACATCTGAAACAAAGGCCTGGTTTCACAGAACACAAGGTGTCACATGTTGAACTGAGGCCTAACTCTCACAGAAGGAAGGGCGTCGAAAGCAAAGTCTCACAGAGGGTCCAACATTATGAACAAAGGCAGGGTCTCAGAGAAGGAAGGGCCTCACAGAAGGCAAAGCCTCACAGAAGCCAGGGTCCCACAGAAGGCAAGACCTCACAGAGGGTCTGGCCCACTAAACAAAGGCAGGGTCTCACAGAAGGCAGGGGGGTGCCAAGCCTAGTTTGGCTACAGGCATGCGTATCACATATGACGCAATGCAGGGTTTCACACAATAGACAGGGAAATAAAGGACCTCGCACCTGAAGGTGTTTTCACCCGTGAAATCACACGCTCCCGAACTGTTGCTCTCCTCTACTGCTCCCACACGCGAGCTGCTCTTGCTCACTTTCTGGTTGGCGGCAGAATGACAGGACCGGCCCTGGACACTCTTCCATAACTGAAGCTTAGGATTTTATATTTGGTCTTCGATTGGAGCAAGATACAATCTATAGATATGTAGCACAGTTTTCGATATAAATTAGAACAGATGGCAGGGTCTCACACATCAAGGAAGGCAGAGTCTCACAGAAAGGCAGGGCCCCACAGAAGACAGGGTCTCGCCCATTAAACAAAGGCAGGGTCTCACAGAAGGCAGGATATCATAAAATAAACTAAGTCAGGGTCTCACAGAAGGAAGGGCCTCACAGAAGGCAAAGCCTCACAGAAGCCAGGGTCCCACAGAAGGCAAGGCCTCACAGAAGCCATGGTCTCACAGAAGGCAAGATCTCACAGAGGGTCTCACAGAAAGGCAGGGCTTCACAGAAGACAGGGTCCCGCCCATTACACAATGGCAGGGTCTCACAGAAGGCAGGGGGTGCCAAGCCTAGTTTGGCTACAGGCATGCGTATCACAGATGACGCAATGCAGGGTCTCACACAATAGACAGGGAAATAAAGGACCTCGCACCTGAAGGTGTTTTCACCCGTGAAATCACACGCTCCCGAACTGTTGCTCTCCTCTACTGCTCCCACACGCGAACTGCTCTTGCTCACTTTCTGGTTGGCGGCAGAATGACAGGACCGGCCCTGGACATTCTTCCATAACTGAAGTTTAGGATTTTATATTTGGTCTATACTAGGAGCAAGGTACAATCTATAGACATGTAGCACATTTTTCGATATAAATTGAACAGACGGCAGGGTCTCACAGAAAGGCAGGGCCCCACAGAAGACAGGGTCTCGCCCATTAAACAAAGGCAGGGTCTCACAAACGGCAGGGTATCATAAAATAAACCAAGTCAGGGTCTCACAGAAGGCAAAGCCTCACAGAAGCCAGGGTCTCACAGAGGGCAAGGCCTCACAGAAGCCATGGTCTCACAGAAGGCAAAGTCTCACAGGGGGCAAAACTTCACAGAAAGCAAGGTGTGTCACTCACAGCAGGGACTCGCACAAGGCATGGTTTCACACCTGAAACAAAGGCATAGTTTTACAGAACACAAGGTGTCACATGTTGAACTGAGGTCTAACTCTCACAGAAGGCAGGGCCTCACAGAAGGCAAAGCCTCACAGAATGCAAGGTCTCACAGAATGCAAGGTCTCACAGAGGGTCTAACATTATGAACAAAGGCAAGGTCTCAGAGAAGGCACAGGAGGGAAGGCCTCACAGAAACGCAGGCTCTCACAGACTGCAGGGCCTGACTGAAGGCAAGGCCCAACATGTGAAAGAAGGCTGGGTCTCATAGAAGGCAGGGTCGCACATAGGACAGAAGGCAAAACTTCACATGTGAGAGAAAGCAAGGTCTTACATGTGACAACAGGTAGGGTCTCACATATGGCAGAAGAGGGTCCCGCATATGACAGAAGGCAAGGTCTCACACGCGAAAGAAGGAGGGTCTCGCACATGACACATTGCAAGGTCTCACAGATCTAACAGGGTCTCGCTTATGACAGAAGGCAGGGTCTCACACACGAAAGAAGGAAGGGTCTCACAGATGACAGATTGCAAGTCTCACAGATCTAACAGGATCTCGCAGGACAGAAGCCTAGTAGGTAGGGTCTTTCAGAAGGCAGCGTCTCACAGCAGCTGGAAGGGTCGGAATAGGGCAGATTTCCGACAAACGTTCGACAACATTAACGGGGCGAGGAAAACGCAATTAACGGGGCGAGCAGGACCACCACCCCCTCCTGTCCACCCCCACCCCCTTCCACCCGCTTCCACGCCCCCTTAACACCCTCCCCAACCCCTTCCCTTCTCCCTTAATCCCTCCCACCCCTTCCTCCGACAAACGTTCGACATCATTAACGGGGCGAGGAAAACGCAATTAACGGGGCGAGCAGGACCACCCCCCCTCCTGTCCACCCCCACCCCCTTCCACCTCCTTCCACACCCCCTTAACACCCTCCCCAACCCCTTCCATTCTCCCTTAATCCCTCCCACCCCCTCCTCCGACAAACGTTCGACAACATTAACGGGGCGAGGAAAACGCAATTAACGGGGCGAGCAAGACTTCCCTCCCTCAGCACACCCCCTCCTGTCCACCCCCGCCCCCCCACCCCCCTCCACACCCCCTTAACACTTTGCCCAACCCCTTCCATTCTCCTTAACCCCTCCCCTTCCCACCCCCACCACCTCCACCACCACCAACCCCCCACCCACCTCCCCACACACCCCATAATCCTTCCCAAACCCCTCCCATTAGATGTTTTCCAGGGTTGCCAGGAAAAACATGGAAGGC